CTTGCCATGCTTGTTATACCGTCCACCTTACGTTAATCATCTTTGTCATATAAAATCACTATAAATCGTAAAATGGTTAAGTCAAGCACCAAGGATAAGTGCAAAAACTGTGCTTCTATTCACAAACTCTGTTAATTATGAACTTCAACGTAAAGTCCTCAAAAATAAACTCAATTAATCTACCAATATTTACTTTTTGTTCTCTTGCCACGACCTTTTCGCAAGTATTTCATTGCAATATCGAATATACTACAATTTCCTAAAACGGCGATCCTCTATGATACTGTGATTCATTTACACCTCCAATACCACAACGATACGCAATTAAATCTTAACATTAGGAATTGATGGAAATGACACGCCTTGTAGGATCAGAGCTGTTCTAAACATCATAGCTTGGTAAATTAGTTGTGAAAAACTGAGAATCGGGATTTAAAACGCTAGAAAAAAAAATGAGCTAAAGATGACCTATAGAACCATTTAGCAACGGCTGCGCGCTTTATTGACGAAATAATCGCACTAAACGTCCCAATAGCAACTGGGTGCATGCTGAAAGCTGAACAAAACACGATCAATTATTCAATATACAAGTATACGATTACAGTACGTATAGCCACCGCTGCAGCAACATAACTTCAACCGCTCGTTTTATTTATTTTTCATCTCCTCATTGACCACTATATGCTTAACTTGCATGTAATCCTTCAAATCCATGTACAGTTTCTGCCAGTCCTTGGGCAAGTTCATAATTTTAGAATCAATTACCTGCAGTATAATGAGCAGCGCTCGTCTCATCATCATATCAATTTTGAGGGACATCTTTATCAACAGGCCGTACGAAACCATGTTGAAGAACGAAGAGTATCCAAGCAAACTAGAGAGTATTACCAGTGGAATCATGCACAGCTCAATTATATAAGCAAGCATTATGACATTTTCTCTGTTCTTGTTCACAGCATGGCAATAACTTGCAAACGCGTACTTTTTCAGCTTTGGATGCGTCAGGACAACGCTCGAAACATTCACAACAGAGGAAATATAGAAAGGCAGCATGAACAGAAGGGGCGGGTTGGTGAGAAAGAAAAGAAAGCAAAAGGTGTTCGTATTCTCCAAAATGCGATCAAGGTTCTGTTTCTGTGGGTACAAAGTAAGGAAATACGCCGTAGCAACCGCTATGTTTGTCATAATACGCGGTATACTGGCAACAAAAGGCAAACGGATGATCCATGAGGATAGATACAAGCTATACAAGGTAATAAAAGTTGCATTAGATGTTATCCATAAATCCTTGACTGAGAGCTTCGTTAACATGGGTTTATCAAGGGTAAATTTTTATGGTCATTTAAATTTGATCAGCAACTTCGGTGTAAAACCACATCAGAAAAAGTTATAATACAAAGGAAAGACTTGCAAACATGCGTAATACAAAAAAGTAAAGTAGATATGACCCTTGTTTCGCGCAGCATGCTTACTGCCGGTTGAATAAACAAATAATCGTGAGCAATTACTCGAGCGTGATGAAACGGTTGTAAACCGTTCTTATCCCAGTAAATATGGTTCATTATAGCAGAAAGCACTAAACATCTTGTCTATGGTTAAAATGCTTCTCCAAAATTTGTTAAAGTACAAACAAAACGCACTGAGCTCACAACAAACATTTAATGCTTTTGCAACGGATTATATTTTCGAACGCGTTTAGGAACATTTTCAAACCTGTTATGGTTCTCCTGCGCGTTACTATAGGTTGTTTTTGGTTCCTTTCTTATTTCATTCTCAGTTTTTTCTTCTACCCTGAGATACTCTACATCAGGAACCGGAAAGAGCTTGTTAAGCGCTATAAATGTGTTATCATGGTAGCAAAGAATGGTTTTGTTCGTGTACTGAATCAATCTCTTTGACATCGAATTCTCTAACCTATAAATGTACTCTGAATTTGCGTAATATATCCGTTTCCTGCTATCAACGCACAAAAAATTTACTGCTCCAATTAAATCAACGGTCCTGACATGCCCATTGCCGTAGATGAAAAGCTGATTGCTTGATACTATCAGGATAACCCCGTGTTTTACCACAAATGTATTGGCACGTGGCAGATCGTACACATCCCTTATCTTTCCTTCCTTGCACAGAACAATTAAGCTATCGTATGCTGCACTCTCAACAACAACATACACATGCTCGGACAGTCCTAGAAATTTTATTTTTTTACCTTTAAGGCCTTCAACCGCAGAAATGTCAAGTTCCCATTTCTTGGTATCCTCATAGTATGTCAAGATCGTTTGTGTGCTCAGAAGCACACCATCAGCATCAAAGCATCCTTTATCGCTTTTCAGTTTGCAGTGAATGATCTTGTTGCTGATCATGTGATCGTGGAACACAAGTTCAATCAGATTCACAGATACGTCCTGTTTACACAGTAAAAACCCCGTTTCATTGTAACTCAAGAGTATGACATTGTTTTCATGTACCCGGCCGGACGTCCACACATGGCTTTCTTTCGTAACCACTACCTGTCTATCCGACGCAGTATCATTCATTGCGTGTTCCTCACCGTACTCTTCTTCAGCAGATATTTCATCATTTGCGTGCTCGCCTCGCTTGTCAGTATTTCGCCTTTCCTGCTTATGGAAAAGATCCCTTAGCTCTTCATCCTCGCTGCTCGAAGGAACGTTTTCTGTCTTTCTGCGCACGTAGAACCTATTCTCCTGCAAAACAATCTCTTTCATCTTTTTCGCCTGCTCCGCAGTGTCTAGCACATCCTTGATAATGTTCAATTTATCTTTACCATACAATAAAGCGTTATTATGATACAAAATACGGCCAGCATCACCTCTGTATATTCTAATCTCTCGAATAACTTCCTGCTCGCAAAAATCCACTATTTTAATCCTGCCTTCTTCCAATAGGAAGAGAATGCCGCCATTGGTGCTGAAAGTAAAGTCCACGATCTTCTCATCAAGTTTTATAAGCGAACTGAAGTTGTTAACCGTTTTGGTGTAGAGTATGTTGTCATCCGAGATAAAAAGATACTTGTCAAAAAAGTGAAATGGAAAATTGAGGTTATCGAACTGCTCCTCTCTCTTTTTTTGGCCGGACACAGCACCATGTGTTTTATCGATGCATAGCTCATCATTTTGGCCGCTAGCATCACCCAAATTTCGCTGTAATTTGCTGAGACTCAGCACAGGATCTATCACAACCAACCTGCTGTTGCCATCGTGTAGATAAATGAGATTGGTGAACGCAATTTGATTAACCGGCGATCTGTGCCAGTATTGGAAGCATATATGCTTATTGCTGTATATCTGGATCAACCCGGCATTCGTAGCAATGACCAGAAATGGCTCGTTGTAGAACAGCGCAGAGATCTGTGCATCGAGAGCCAAAACCTGATTTTGGTTGAAAAAGAGCTTTCCCTCAGCTGTTCCAATCACCAACTTATGTTTTAGCAAAACCATTGCTGTTATAGTACTGGAATATTCGTATTCATCAACTTTCACCAGGTACTTCTCATCACCGTACAGCTCATTCCGTACCTTCTCCAGCTCAGACATTTCTTCTTCTTTCTTTGCTGAGGTAGTAAAATCAAGTCTGTACGTGACAAGCATTTGGTTTTTAGAAAAGTACAACAGGCCGTCCTCTACAGCAAGCATTTCCACTTCAAGGGTGCGCTAACAAAAGAAAGACCCTTTCTCAAACTCAAAACGGTATTAAAATAAAAGAACTTACGGTGTTTGGAATGAATATCTCGCTGGATATACACTTACACCTAAAAATGCATATTTTGCAGTATAAAAGAACAGCTGTGATCTATTCGCTCTGCAATGATGCAAAGCGTGTATCGGTATATCATCACGCATCCTTTGCAACAGGTACCTCGTGTCACATTTTTTGTTGAGACATGGCGATGACAGCAGATTTACTCGACAGAAACATTTCTCAAACATCCTATATATCATTACCAGTGATTCAATTTCATATAAAATGGCCTATTTTAGCTTTAAACAAATCTCTTATGGCACTACCAAATCACATCAACTGGATGCACCAATCCAATGCTGATGTAATGGCGCACAGCAAATCTGCCCCTGTAACCAAAAGGCAGATGCGCCATTTCCTAAGAGCCGATGCTCGCATTTTTTTCAAGGACACGCCTAAAGTTGGCACCGATGTCTTCCGTCAATATGTCGTGTATTCATACACCCTTTAAAATGGACAACGATTTGTGCCGAAAGATGGAAGATCTACGAATAACGTACGAAAAGTCAAAAACGAGGGAAAGTGTCACGAACGATGTGAAGAAACTCTCAGCATTCTTCACCAATACGTGCAACAATGAGGTGTTCGACTATGCCTTCGAAAAATTTGTGGATTTTAACTCGTCCAAGATTTCATACAAATGTTTATTAGAATGTATTGGGAAGATGCAGAAGAAAGCAGCATATAAATGCAATGTGGAGAGGTGCAGCGATGGCGGTGTTTATGATAAGTTTCTTGAGTAGCGCAGTCTTGACACGATGCCACATTTTCATTAAACGCTCTTCTATCAAATTTTTAATCCTAAGCTGTTCATTTGTTAGCTCGTTTAAGCGGTTGTGAACAATTTGTTAACCAAGATGGTACCTGTGTGCTGAACAATAGATACAAGCATTTTTTGTGGTGCCAGCTATCGATAAGAGAACAACTTAGTACTGAGAGATGACGTGTGTGCAGTGAATAAACATGCTCTCCACAGAAAATATGAATCAAGCAAGATTTAATGTTAAAATAATCGCTAAATGTGCGTATGAAGAAATCGTGGCCAGGACAACACTGGCAAAACATTCTTCTTTTGTATGATAAAATGTAATTGTATTGACAGCGTAGATCATGTAGATGATCCATACGATGAGATTCATGACGAAAATGTTCTTTTTAGGATTCATCGTGAACGCAAGATAAACTAAATACGAAAAATATGACAGTATGAAGATGTGACCAGAGGTGTTGAATTTCAGTTCTGTGGAAAATATCTTGTCGCACAGATTGCAAAGGCCATATTGGCACGTATTGAGGAAATAAATCGCAAAATCAACGAGTACAATACAAATTTTATAACTTAGTCCTGACGAGTAGCTGGAAAGCATGCGTACGAACACTGTTACAACAAATCCGTAGTTTTTTATCACGTACTCCACCATTCTGGTGATGAGAAACGGATTGTGCGATTCTAGTTGTGGTTGTATGAGTATTACAAATGCAAGGAAGGTGTTGTAATAAAATATGTATAGCGCTAGTGTGTTCTTCAATATTCTTGTATAGTACGAGTCCTCTGATAATTGCACTATCATTGCTCCCCCAGTTGTTTTTATTTTTATTGTTGCAAATTTTTATTATCAAAATCAGCCATCATTACTCAGCGCTATCATGCAGCACTGTTTGGAAACCTTCTTGGGTAAAATTACCAGTGAAACCTATCCATAATCGAATTATGGTCTGGTGATAAAATTTACGCTCAATAGCGTCATTCGAAATTTTCAGCCGGTTTAACACACGTTGCGTCAAAAAATACGGTTGAAGTGGTTTTTAAAGCACAGGAATAATTTTAGCACGTTCAAGAAATAAATAACGAGCCAAAATTTTGGTGTGGGAAAAATACGTTGTGATGAACGATTAGCTCCTGAGAATCACTGTGGCATGCTCTGATAAGTGTTCATAAAGAATAAATGCGCTTTTCTAGCTATGAAAGGTAAGCGCAAATTGCAAGCCTTCTGGCACGGGATGTTTTCAGCTGCAGGTAGATGTTTACATTTATTATTGAGAGTAGAGACTTATCCTTACTGTGATACGTACTTATTTATCAAATATCATTGCGATGTCGTATACTCAACCAGCTTTTTGCATGACTTTGACTTTCTTTTGAATGAAAATGACATTCTTATCGATTTTTCCCACGAAACACATGACAACCCGCTAATCACTTAAGACAGGACGGAATTCGATTTTTCAAGTGAAGAGTAGGTTTGCACGATGCAGGTTCATCAGAGAAATGAACATGTGTTTTAATACGTGAGGTGGACCTGCCGGACCAGAAAACTACGTTTATTAGAAGACGATAAATTAATGCAATTATACCGAACAACAGTGCGCAAAGACGAACAGCAATGATAGACCCTCATGTACCCTATTAGTCCATACGTTCGTATGCAGTGGATGAATGTAATTGAGGTAGATTTTGTGGGTGTTATACGGCTCAAAGCTGATGTTCTTGCTAGGGATAAGAGATGCCAATTCGTAGTGGTATGTACTAAATGATGATGTATATCCAAGGTAATATTCTTAGTGAGACGAGGCATGTGCAAAAATGAACCACAATGGCAAACTTTTATCATTTTGAGATGAAATTCTCGTGATTTGCCCTATAACCCTAATCATCCGCATAATAAGGGCCCAAGTACCTAAGCCTTTGCTTAGAGAGGGATAGGTCAAAAAAGCATATTCAGCAAAGAAGATACGTGAAATGGAGTCAAATAAAACTAAAAAATAATCCATCAATGATATCGCAGAACTATATGGCGTTGTGATGAAGCGAGACAAATGCAGATCTTGCCGATGCAACCGAGTCATATACCGGTTATGGAATATGAGCACAGCACGGTTTATGTCGTTAAAAGATTCTTTTTGCAGAAAGAGAAAAGTTTATTCGGTGTCACCAGTCGTTGTACCGCATGGAGAGTGCATTAGCGCATTTGATGTGATAATAATGCCCAATCAATATTTTACCAGATGAACTGCTCTCGCTGTACATCATATTTAATGATTTTGACTGCGAGAAGTGTGCCGCTTGGGCATTTGTTAAGGTCATTAAATTGAAAATAATCGTAGCGCTATTAATTACTATTAGAAACGTGCTGCACACGATGTTCTGTGTTTGGTGAAACGACTTTAATTCCTTTTAATAGATATTCTGTAAAATGGTCATGTTCTAATTTCTTTTCAAAAGTAAGTTTTGAACGTATCCTGTTACACATCTAAGCTGAAAATGAATTGGAAAGAAACATGTCCTGTGCTAACCAGAAAAAGAGAACAAGAAGCGGCACATAGCAGCTCTGGTCAAATAACATTCGTGCGTACTTCTACTGATTAATAATAGGGCCATAAATGAACGACTGACCGAATAAACTTAGACAGGCATGCTGTAATAAAATGGCATGCCAACGAAAAAACATACATGCTCGAGTTTTGTGGTGAGCACATCTCGCGAATGACTAGTTAACTGATCACAGCGAAACCAAACACGCTAAATAAAAAAGCTCTCACTCCGAGAATCGAACTCGGGTCGCCAGCGTGACAGGCTGGAATGCTGACCGCTACACCAAGTGAGATCTGCGCACACAAGAACTGCGTTGTTGTAAATACAAAATTACAGAAGATCGAAGTAATTGATGAATGGCATTCAGGATCAGACTGTTTGTTGGTTCAATGATATTATTTGCCGTTAATATATGGCATATCCTTAGCGAAGATAAACTCACATGTTCTTACACTCCTCGTGCTAAGGTGCCACACAGTTCATTCACATAGTAAAAATGGAGTTATAAACGTTTCCATTTTACAAAATTTCTTTTGCACCAAAGTGCAATTTCTGATAAACACATTGTCATACCGATCAATACCCAAAGTTAAACATGAATTTGTACAAAAATGGTGCATTTCATCAGATATTTCGTGCTGCATACCACCCGATAGTTGCGTTTAGCGCCAAGATCCATAGCTTGCCATATCTATACCCAAACTACAAACATAACTGCTAAATGTTACGATCCAAACATTAGATCTCTACCTATGAATAGCTGCCATTCTGTGCTTATACCGGACATTTATTCGAATGCTCGAAAGTGGAAAAGTCAATAACTACGACTGTGGTGCGAAGCGTTGTCTGATGCAGATACAGGGAGTGATACGTCCAACATCATGTACACAATTTTGTTGGATCGTTTCATCCTGCAGAACAACTTATTCTAGGGTATAAGATGCTATGGTAGCATCATTTAGGAAAATACACAACAACGAGACAGCCAGCCGCTTCAGATGAAAAGACCAGAAACCGCGTTTATTTTAGTAGCCTGCCTCAGAACTGCTTCCCGTATCGGAGACAACAGATCGATCTTCAGGCAAAATAGAAAACTTGATCTGTCCTACTTGATCAATGTACCGCCCTTGCACCTTCTCAACATATTCGAAAGTCCTGACATTCCTACACAATGCTTTCATCTCCTTTTTGAAGCGTAGCGCGTTCTTATCGTTAAACTGCACGTCTGCACTCTTCAGGTTATTGGAGTCCATAATTGATCGCACAGACTTGCATATGTTTATGATCTGCGAAAAATGGTCGGTAAAACCACGATTTAAACACTTGGGCAGTCGTTCAACGGTGACCGATTCAAGAAGATCCAAAATGTTGAGGATCCTTAGTCTTTGGAACAGCTCTTCCGTTATAAAAGGCATAAAAGGATGCAACAACAGGATTATATCTCTGAACACGAGTACAAGAGCTGCAACGTACTCAGTTTGTGTACACTGCTTTACAACCTCGATGAAGACATCGCAATACATGTAGAGCGCGAACTGATGAACGCACTGAGTAGCGCTCATAAAATTGAACGCCTCCATGCTGCTGATGAATTCCTCGATCATGGCTTCCCGCTTTCCATAGAGCCACTCGATCACATGTGGAGCGGAGAAGAAATCGCTTTTCGTTTCTGAAATGCTCAACGCTCCTATACCGTGTCCAGGATCAGTTTCAACCTCGTTAAGTGTTTTAACGAAGAGTTTACCACTGGCATTCCTCTCACTCACACTTTCATCAGCCATCTTGCTAGCAATCTCGATAAATAGCTCCCTGTCCTCCAGCTTTTCAACTGCGCTGTTGTCCTTTGTGTACTCATGATTTGTATCAACATATTTCATGCCCGCCTGAACTACCAAAAGGCTTTTTTCGAACTTAGCGATGTCATCAGAACTGATTTTGGTGCTTTCAACCGCTCTTAGTACAAATTTAAAAGCGTTCCACAGTTTGTTACAGAATTTGCGGTACCCGTCTGCTCGCAAAATGTTCAAATTGACGTCCTTCATCCCAGAAGTGTAAGAACACAACGTGAATCGCAAGGCATCTGATCCGCAACGTGGTATTCCCATCGGAAAATCTTTTTTCTGTCCTTCCAAGGCAGTTTTAACCTCTCTTGGTTCCAGGTTCGTTGATGTGACGCTCTTTGCCAGCTCATCAAGCTCAATTCCCTCTATCACGTAGAGCGGATCGATTACATTGCCCAGACTTTTGCTCATTTTCCTTCCATTGGCATCCCGCACGATACCATGCAGTAAAATTGTGTTAAATGGCACTTTGCCCGTCAATTCAACACTGAGCATGACCATACGCGCGACCCAGAAGAACAAAATGTCGGATCCTGTCTCTAAAATAGAATTGGGAAAAAAACGACTGAAATCATCTGTCGCTGCTGGCCATCCCAAAATAACAAAGGGCCACAAACCAGATGAGAACCACGTGTCGAGGACATCTTCATCCTGCCTGAGCACGTACTCTTCTGTATTTAAACCGTAGGTCGCCTCAGCCTTTTTCTTTGCCTCATCCTTGGTTCGTGCCACGATCCAGCCCACGCTCTTGCTGCCCTTGAACACTTGATATGCCGGTATCTGATGCCCCCACCACAACTGCCGAGATAAACACCAATCCCTTATGTTTGAAAGCCAGTAGTTCCAATTTTTTACCGCTATGTCAGGAACTATCCTTAGCTCGTTGCTTTCTACCGCCTCGATGGCCTTCTTGGCCATTTCCTTGCAGTTCAGCCACCACTGTTTCTTCAGGAGCGGCTCTAGAATATCACCAGAGCGTGAACATATCGGCAAAGTTTGCTCGTAGCCTGTTTCTGAAACAAACAAGCCAGCGTCCTTCAAAAGCTCTAACACCTTGATCCGGGCGTAAAACCGCTTCATTTTGTAAAAATTTCCCTCTACGCACACCTCATTACTCTCGTTAAACACATTTTTGATTGCTAAATTGTGCTTTTTTGCCAAGTCATAATCGTTAAAATCGTGGGCTGGTGTAATCTTAAGGGCACCTGATCCGAATTCCATATCTGCGTACTCGTCAAATATTATGGGAATCACCTCTTCTGTTATCGGATTGATTGCTACCTTTCCCTTCAAATATTGCGCTCGCTTGTCCATAGGATTGACACACAGCGCAGTGTCACCAATAATTGTTTCAGGACGCGTGGTCGCAATCTCAATGTAGTCATTGACTTCGCTCGATCCTTTGTCTGCCAGAGGATACTTTATCGCATATAACACACCAAACACATACTTCTTGCCATCTGCCTGCAGCTTTGTAAACGGTTTTACCGACTTGTGATCAACTTCAAGATCGCTCAGCGCAGTGGATAACTTTGAACACCAGTTTATTAGCTTAGACTCTCTATAGATCAGTTTTTTCTCGTACAGCTGTACAAATGCCTCGATTACGCCATCACTCACCTTCTTATCCAATGTGAAGACATAGCGGCTCATATCCACCGATGTTCCCATCCGTTTTATTTGATCAATAATCGTATTTCCGTACTTTTCCTTCCATTTCCACACCATGCCAACGAATTTTTCTCTGCCTAAGTCGTACCTGGTGAGCTTCCTTTCCTTGTATAACTTTTTCTCTACCACTGTCTGCGTTGCTATGCCGGCGTGATCGCATCCAGGCACAAAAAGGACCTCGAATCCCTGCATTCTCTTGTAACGCGCTACTGCATCCTCAATGGCCACCATCATGGCGTGTCCTATGTGTAACTTGCCCGTAACATTAGGGGGAGGAAGCGCCATTACATACGGTTCACGCACATCATTCCGGTATTTCTTCAGAATCTCTGGTTTGAAGAAACCTTTCTTCTCCCACCACGAATACCATCCCTCCTCAACCTGCACGGGATCATATGTTTTCATAATCTGGTGCACGTCCTTCAACTCACCTTCAGGAGTTCGTGCTATAGATTCTTGCTGCGATATCTGCAATTTCAGGTTCTTCTTGCTTTCAATTTTCTGTGCTTTTGATTGCTTTTTGATGAACTTTTCCAGTTTTTTCTGTTTCTTCAGATCTTTTTGCTGCTTCCTATCGTTCATTCTATGGGTCTTAAGAAAACAAAAATTTTCTTTCACCAAAAGTAACATTTATCGCTTAAATCAATGCGGTACCGTCACTAGCAGTTCAATAAAAACCGATAAATCATGGTTGGTGGCATGTAAATATGGCGTAGCTCATCGATTTTCACACTCGAACATATTACAACCTGAAATAAGCCCTAATTTGCAAACTTGGTTGCCTGTCTGTTCATTAATGTTCCAAAACACCTGCGCAAGAAAAAAATTAATTCTTTGAATAAAAATGCAGAAATAACAAACTAAGTAAAAATACCACGTTCAGACATAAATTCCATTTTTCAGGACCATTACGAATAACTTGTTACCACTCATGTCATTTATTCATGGTTATTTTCAATCGCACAAAAGTTCATGATTTGTATCAGTTCCTATATCTTCTTCAAAAAATTACTCTGCTCAATTTTGTCCTCAAATCGATATTCGTGCATCTTTAACTATGCAATACCTTGAATCATGTGATTTTGTGGATATGAGGAACTCTGCTCATATTATGTTTATTGCTGTGATTAACACCTTATTATGCCAATGCTATAAAGCATCCATCTGGGACCGCATTAAAAATTGTTTTAAGGCCTTTCTCGCTGTACAAAGGAGTTGTTGCAATTCGTGCATGCCCTTTTAGTCTTTTACCAATGGAGGGAACAGGATGCAAATCAAAGCAGAGGCACGTATCGTCACGCTCAATAAATGGAAGAGAAAAGTGACACATTTCAAAATAATTTAACGGTGATTGTTCCTTACACCCGGTATGATTGAAACTTAAGTTGTAACGTATTGTAATTTTTTCTTTGCCACAGAGACTTCAATTTATATTTGTTCTGCAATCACATCAAAAGATAAACAACGTAGTGGGGTTCAAACCTTAGATAAAAGGTTTTAATAAATCATAGACCTCATTAACCGCCTCTTCAACACTTTTGTGACCATCAATAACCACACAATTTTTAGATTCTGAGCAACATTTTTTCAACTGCAGGTAAATTTTCTCTTGAATATCCAGGTTATCGTAGATCTCCTCACCAAAATCCTCTCTCGTGACCGTTCTATGCGGTTGCACATCCAGGAACACAAGAATATCGGGTTCAATCAATCCTCTATCCGGTTCACGCGCCCATTTCTCATCAACGCCTAGTGCGATACTGTACGCTATTCCCGAATAAAAATACCTGTCGCATATAACAACGTGATCTTTTAGCAGCTTCTTCACTTCTTCGTTCTTCTCCCACCTATTAGCAGAAAATAGTAGATGGCTTGTCTCTTTATTGAATGTTATTTGCTTCTTCAGGTACAGATTTACCAATTTGCCTATCGTAGTCGTTCTGTCAGGATAATTTATGAGCACCGGACTGCTGTTCGTTGCTGTCTCTTTCAACCTTTCCACAAGCTTTCTGCATAACGTAGATTTTCCAGATCGATCTATTCCTTCTATAACAATGAATTTTCGTTTGCCGGCCATATGGGCTTGATACGAACCGTCTTTAGATATTTTATAATATTTTTTTGGTAACTCCGCTTTCACTTCTAACAACAAGCTGATAACCCAACTATTGTTCATCATTCCCTTTTATTCGTTGTTTTTACAGCATTTTTTCGATATTTTCAATCATATATAATATATTCCGATTTTAATTTATTTGCTTCGTAATACCGTGAACAGATGCAATTACTACACCATAGTTCTATTTGACGGTGCTATTGCATCCAAAAAGCTAAGGAAATTTACGTAAATACCTTCCTCGAACAAATACAGGCGGAACGTATGTGTGATAAGAGGATTAGCTGAATATAAAATTTTACTGTATCTAATATTTCTTAGCACCATAACCATCATGTTAGATCGCACATGGTTCGTAAGGCGTTCACCACATTTATTTAGTATTGTATCACTACGGGAAATAACGCAGTGATGGTTCTTAGGATAAATCGTGATAGCAGCATTGTGACTTTAACCTTTTAATGTAATGATCCAATCACTGGCACAAAGGAGCGAAACATATCACTGATTGAACATAAATTTTGTTTAATAAGCCTCTCATGTTTTAATATAGCACTCGAAATTCTTACTAGCGGTCAAAACCTGTTCTTAATAACTTATGATCTTGGAGACCAGCACAATAAATGACAGTTCAGTGCTTCGTTGTGCGCTGGTGTAAGACAAGCAGGGTATAATGCAAACAAATCCGTACCATCATTTATCGGCATATTCTCTGTCTTAAACAAGTGAATGTTCTATTTAGAGACCCATGTGCGGAATAATCGTGGCCAACTCCACAATTCCAGAAAAAACGAAAAAAATGGCCATGAACCGTGGACCTGATGCCATAACCGAGACAAAAGTGAGCAATTTCACCTTTATTTCCACCACTTTATCAATACGTGACTGTCCTACAAGGAAGAATGGCGAAAGTATTCTGTTGTACAACGGAGAAATATATAATGGCGCACCTAGTGACACTGATTCTGTGCAAGAATGTCTAGAAACTATCTGCGAGTGCGCGGAGTGCTTCTGTGTGGTAAAAAAGGTGTACGAAATGGTAAATGCATATGAAAACGAAGTGGCCATTTGCTTTTATTTCAAGAACTGCATTTACTTTTTCAAAGACGATGTTGGGAGAAAAAGCTTTGGCTTCACAATTACTGACGTTTTCTATGCTGGATCCGTGGGATTTGAGATCGAGGCCAATCCAAACCTTCTGTACCAATATCGGTTACGGGACCATAAACTTCTTTGTGTACCTAAGGATGAAAATACTACTTGCCATAAAGGACAAGTCTGTCAGCAGAATGAGATATTGCACGGGCCTTTTCTTCTTAAACAAGGTGTGGTACGAATCAACTGGTGCGAACCGAAAGATTTAGAATCACAGGCGAGAATACTGGAAAATCTTCTTATACAAAGCTGCCGGCGAAGAGTGCATCGTTTTGATAGTGTGATACTTTTTGGTGGTGGCATTGATTCGTTGATCGTAGCAATGGTGCTGAACAAAGTTTTGGAAAAAGAAAAGGCAATTTATCTGGTCAACACTTCTTTTGACGAAAAAAAGAGCTGGGACAGATCATACGGTCTGGCGAATTACCAGGCACTGTGCGATGTCTACAAAGAGAGAGAATTTGTGTTTGTAGAGAATGATGTTTCGTTAGAAGAAGTGAGCTGCGTTTTACCTATGATTGAAGCATTGGTATACCCCAAAACATCAGTTATGGATGTAAACATAGGCTTGTGCCATTACTTTTCTGCTAAAAGAGCCAAGAACTACACTAAGGTTGTGTATACAGGGATGGGAGCGGATGAACTTTTTGGTGGCTATGCTAAGTATTTGAAAGGTGTAAATAACGCGAGATTGGCCATTGATCGTGATGTTAAGACGCTGTTTAGAGATAATATTGGTCGAGACGATAGAATAATTGCTGATAACGCGGTTGAGATGAGAGCACCATTTTTGGATAAAGATGTGGTGAAATTCGCACTCGGTCTAGATTTGCCCTATCTTGTAAATGCTGGTGAGCATAGAAACGAACAGTGTGGAAAAGTAATACTGCGCAAGATTCTCAGCTTATCTGGTTTTGAAAATGAATCTGAAATTAGCAAAAAAGCTGTGCAGTTCGGATCGGGTCTCAAAAAACAGGAAAAGAAATTTAGATGATCCTTAGTTTTTTGAATGATCGTTGTTTGTACAGACACTCCTATGCAACTATCTACGTGTTTAGCAGTACTTTCTAGAGAAATTACCTTGTGCAGATGTTGCATGAGTTCTTTAGCGGTTGCTCATGGTAGTGTTATACGGTTTTACTGCACTGTAAGTGCATTTAAGTAAATACGGTGGTAAATTGAATTGCTAAGAGGATTAGAATGGCAGTGCCGGAGATACTTTTTATTTCCACTGCATACGTTGAAGAAAGTAAAAATTAATGCTTTGTACAATCTCTTTGCCTAGAAAACCGCATGATCATCATTTTCATCTAGCTGAGTGCATCGCTCTTTACGGTATATCCGGAAAGAAAAATAGCAAATTACGTTTTTTATTTTTCAATTTTGGTTTTATAGCAGCAACTATCATTACTTTTTCGCAAAGACCATCAAGCTACATGGTTTAATCACCATTTGGAACTGATCAGTTGTAGTTATCCTCAGATCAAGATATTATTTGAGTGTTAGTTCAATACCAGACAGAAACAAAGTGATGAAGCGTAAAAAACTAGCGTAACAATTTTAGTTCATCATACATACCCACTGCTCACTAGAAAGTCTAATTTAAATATCATGAAAGGATGTGATTCGTTATCATGCGTTAATCCAAGTTCTTCGAAATGAACGTAGATGGTTGCGATTCGTATCCAGATCATACGTCCATATGAATTGGATAACAAAGTCAAAATACGCCGGTGTTGCTGTACTAAATTAACATTTTGACATCTTTCGCAATTGGCGCAGTTTTTGCACCAAGAACCGGCTCTGCACGAACAAATTCTGTTACGTCACCGTTCTCAAAACGCGTCATGCCATTGGTTGTTCTCATACGTTCCTTCTTATTTGGTCCAACAACCACGAAGACAAATCAATCGCTGCTGGCAAAAACATGGAAATGAACTTGTTGGTCGGTTTTAGCATTGAATACACCTTTTTGTCGCATGTTAAATATTTTATCCACAGCTTATTATGATCCGTGAGAAAATGAAAGTAAAAATAAAATTACAGGGATGCCCAGCACCATTTGTATGAGCGGATACGGACATTGTGCTTCTGAAGAATCTTTCTATGCGCATTTCATCTTTTTGTAAATCTGTGTTGTAAAAATTTTACCCATTCAAAAGATGTTGGTGATGCATGAATCAACGGCAGGAATTTTACTGTGTCGTGTTGGCGATGGAGAGAATAGCGAGATCAAAATCGTGGACAAGTATCTGTTCAAGGAAAATAAGGAAGCGGTGAACATACTCAGCGAGATTAAGAACCACAGGATAAACGATGAGTTATGCGGGTTCCTGAAGAAGAATGTGAGTGAAGACGAATACTTGATAGTAAACGACAAAGAACTGGTTAAAAGTCTTGGCGAAAAGGCAATCAAAGCAAAAGAGGACCTCATACTACAGAAGAAACTAAAAATGGAGATAGAGACACGGATTCTAAAACATTTTGATCTGACAGAAGAGGAATTTAGGAACAAATGGAGATATATAGCAGACAACATAGCGACAGACTCGCTGCACTTCCAGGTGAAGGAGTTTGACACCATGGTTATACAGAGCATCAAGCTGTACGATGATTTGGAAAAGGACGTTAATATGCACTCTATGAGAATTAAGGAGTGGTACGGATTGCACTTTCCTGAGCTCAGCAATTTGATCGAGAATAACGAGAAATATCTGCGTGCGGTCGATCGCATTGGCAACAGAGAGAATCTTTCAAAAATGGAAGATGAGGAGTGTAGCGAGTTTAACATGAAGAAGGTGCAAAAATTGGCAAAAAATAGCGTGGGCTCGGATCTCAAGGATGAAGATATTAAAAAGATCAAGGAGGACATTGCATGCGTACTAAGCATGATAACGTACAGAACTGAGTTAGTGTCCTATCTCACAGAGAAAATGAACGAAATAGCACCTAACGTAACCGAACTGCTTGGTGTTATGGTGGGATCTCGTTTGCTGGTTAAGGCAGGCTCACTTTCTGCGCTGAGCAAGATGCCAGCCAGCACAATCCAAATCCTTGGTGCAGAAAAGGCTCTTTTCAATGCACTGCGGCAGAACGGCAAGACACCCAAGTTCGGAATATTATTCCACGCTCCTCTGGTCTCTAACTGTGCTAACAAGGGCCGGATGGCGAGAATGCTGGCTGCCAAGACAGCTATTGCAGCACGTGTTGATTACTACAAGAAAGATAGAGATGGCGCTCTCGGCAAAAAATACTACGAACAGTTGGACAAGAAGAGACAGAAGATGCAGGACGTAGGTAGCAAAGGAGTGGTCGTTAGGAAAAAGACTGGCAGCAAACCAAAGGTTGAAAAAAGATAAAGAAGTAAATTAAAAGCCTATTTTACAGAAAATGCGATTGTGCTGTGCTATTCTTCATACAGAGCATGCAAATGATGGCTTAAAAACCACGACAAAGTTTTTTGAATATGGAGTTAAAATTGAGCTATTTCAGAGGTTTCCTTCTTAAACTCCCTTAATAATTATGGTGCGAGATGGTACCTGGCATCCTTTGAACACATCTTATTGGAGTGACGAGCCGAGGTCTCCTTGGATATTCCTGCACTTTCATCTGTAAAGAGGGTCGCAGGAATAGAAAGGCCATCCTCACCATAACCAAAGTTATATCACAATGATAGCAATAGCACCAGCCAGCAAATGCAGTTGTAGAGTTGGTGATTGAACAGAAATGCTATACAAGGTGCTTAAATTGCTAAATTTGTAACGTGTGTTATCCAAATCATGCGATCGCGCGTACAACCCGCTCCTTGTGAACGAAGCTATCGAACTGAAAGTGGGTATTTGATGACCGAAAACGGTTTTAAGCCGTAAAATAGCAAATTTGCTCATTGCACGTGGTACAATGAAGATGCATGTGTAGAACCATCAAATGCACCCGTTGGCACCAGCAACACATCAGGTCATGTCCGAATAACGAACTATACCTCAAAATAAACGCTGTTATCAATGAAACTTAATTTACCATACTCTCGACCCAGACTTTCTTTAAATTTTCATCATCACGCCCATCAACAAGCTTGAACGCGTTCTCGATGACCGTTACTTCCGTGGCAGTACTTCTGTGCCCCATGAAGGATATCCAATCATTCACCACCATGCCACCACCTATAACCGAGCTGCCCTTATTTATCGTGCCGGCCACCACTGAGACGGAAAGCAGATTGCACAATTCATCAATTTCTTCGACAGATGTACGGGGATGCACCAACATTCCTTGGTTATTCATCGCACTAAACGTGCCAACCAGCGGCTCACAACCAATGTTGTGTCTGAACACATCGACCATAAGAACCTCCTCAATGTTCTTCACGCTCTCATCATCAATGTCACCATGGACCAATGCCACCGAGTCATTGCACACAATAACGTTGCCCAGCGCGTTCAAGCGCTCGCCAATTCGCTTTATTCTTACGTTTTCGGGCAGAAGATTACGCAGATGCAACAGTTCCTGATCAGTTGCCGTGCTTGGTACCAATAAACCGTTTTTGTTGCCAACACACAGACTGCCCACTGTTTTTATACTGTTTATTGTTGTCTCCACCAGGGGAATGTGGAGGTGTTCTTGGAAGTAAGAATAGAAGTTTCGTGAGGAGCTCTTGCCCACAATGCAATACTTGTTTGTTAAAATGGCATACGCTCCTATGTCGCTGCTTCCCTCAAAGTCAACACGTTGTGACATAGGGGGTAATGACAAAAATATTTTTATGGTGCATGCGTAGGAAGTGAAAGGCTGTGCACAGCACGATAAGTTCATTCTCCTAGGATGAACAAAAGACAGGGAGTGCCCTGATAAATTTTACCCGTCTATGCTTCCAGCCATGTATTCTTCACAAGCCCACCTTTTACATATTATTCTATTTTATGGTCACTTCTTCTATTTATAGCTGCATTTTCATTTCAGCGCGGCTGAACACCACCAAATGAAAATATTGTGGATGTGAATCACACGGTAGCTAATGATAATGCACCTTATGGTGTTATGTGCGAGCTATTATTCGAAGTATTATACTTCGTCCCGATACTCGGCTCTATTCTTTTTCTTTCCTTCAATTTCCGCTCCTCATATGAACGTACCATTACAACCTTTCTGGCAATAAGTAAAGTAAAACAAGCATAACTGCTTTCTTTACAGGTTTAATTTATTTTTACTCCACGGAAGTACCTAAGGAGCGACTTACAGCATGTGCGTTAGCACCAGGCACCGTTTTTTATCACAAAAAGGAATAAATGATAAAAAATTATGTAAAAAGATCATAGGTGCACGTGATTAATGAAACATTCGTTTCCAAGAGTATTTTTCGGTTAGTATTTTCCCACCTCCACCTTATGAATTGTTACTTGTGTTTGTTCCTCATAGAACCGAAGATGCTTTCTGTTTTGGTTGAACTGCCCATTAACAAATTATCCCTTGATGTGCCTGATGTGATAACTAAGTTTATTTACGTGGTCTGTCCAAATGATGATCTTTTGCATTTCATTATGATTGTATCCGTGCAGAAGGAAGTTTTGCCCAATACTGGACAAAGAGGTCATTTAAACATTCACATACTCCTACAAATGCTCATTTTTCATACAAAAGCACTCTGATGGCAGTGTGACGACCGGACTGAGCTGATACGTAACAAGGATGTTTACAGTACTACGAATGAGATGGCTGGACCGTTTAAAAAACCTAACCATCCTTCTTGAACTGTAAAACGTGGATAAAACTGAAACATAACAAATCTGTTTTAGTCGTTTGTTATGAGGGCCCCTTGTTCTGAACCTATGCAAATACCTGTGAAATCAAAAGTATGCCTTGTAATAATCGATGGATGGGGCCACCGCACCGAGAAGAAAGGTAATGCAATTGAGGCTGCTGATTGCAAGTGGATGAAACTGCTCAGCAATAAATACTGCTCGTTTCTGCTATCTGCAAGCGGGATCGATGTAGGTCTGCCTGCCGATCAAATGGGCAACTCCATGGTGGGCCATCTAACAATTGGCGCCGGCCGTGTTGTTCCTCAGCCCCAGAAACAGATTGACGAACTGATAGCCACAAACAAGCTGGGGGAGTGTCTGGAGAAGACCGGCATTTATAAAGAAAGTGGGCGACTGCATTTGATCGGTCTTGTGTCCGATGGTGGCATACACTCACATATTGCGCATCTCTTTGCTTTAGTACATCTGCTTAAGGACACATTCGCTCAGATTTTTGTGCATTTTATTGCCGACGGAAGGGACACAGCGCCACAGAGCGCTATTCAGTACGTTCATTCACTTCAACGGGAAATAACTGGGCTAAATAATGTAAAGATAGCTAGTCTGGCGGGGAGATGGTACACCATGGACCGGGACAAAAATCACGAGCGAATCGAGGAGGCATATTTGAACATGACAAGCGGAAAAGCAATCAAAGAATCAATCGATTCATATCTAAATAAGCAGTATGATAAACATATTTATGACGAGAACATACCGCCTGTACTTTTAAATCAGAACGGTACCATTTCAAGGGGCGATGTCCTTCTATTCTTCAATTATCGTGCTGATCGGATGAAACAGATCGTTGAGCGATGCGCACGGAACAACAGTAGGCTGTACACCATGACACAGTACGATGAGAACTTTGGACATACCTTCATCGTGCGTAGGGAGAGCGTGTCTAACACGCTTGCTGAAGTGATCAGCAAATCGGGAGTTGAGCAGTCACACATCGCAGAAACAGAGAAATACGCACATGTAACATATTTTTTAAATGGTGGGAGAGAACGGCCATTTACGAATGAAAAACGGTTTCTTGTCAACTCACCGAAGGTGCCATCGTATCATCTTAAACCTGAAATGAGCATATATCAGGTTGTTGAGCAATGTTTTAAAGAAATGACGGCAAGTACACCGTTCATAGTTTTGAATTTTGCTAATCCTGATATGGTCGGACATACGGGAAACTTCCAGGCTACATGTGAGGCAGTCTTGTGTACTGATGAGTGTGTGGGACTGGTTTATGAGGGCTGTCTGGAGAATGGCTACATTCTGGTCGTGACAGCTGATCATGGAAACGCTGAAATTATGGTGGATGAAAGCGGAAATGTTGTTACGAAGCATACGAGTTCGAAGGTGCCGCTGATCGTCTGTACAGAGGTTGTTGGTCCAGCAAAAACTGAGTGGGGATTCGCAGGAACGGGCACGCTTTCAGATGTTGCCCCGACAGTTTTGCACTTGCTTGGATTAGAAGTGCCTAAGGAAATGACCGGAAAGAATCTCTGCGTGAAAAGTAACAAAAATAAAAATTAGCTCAATTTTTCAAAGCTTGTACGGTATTAACCAAGAATTACACAAATCATGAAAATTATCTTCGTCAGATTAGCTCTGAATAGAATTTCTACCCTGAGTGGCATAAGCAGCCACTTCTCCACAATTATGCGTGAATCATGATTTGTCAGACACTTAATGTTTTAGAAAACATTGCTCAGCATGAACAGATTTATAAAATTGCTGTAGCTCCAAATAAATCTCGTTATCTTCTTTAAAGTCTAATTTAATCGCCACAATTCATCGTTTTGATGTGAATATTTCGCTGAATATTAGCAGAAATATTTTTGGAGTAGACATGCCACGCGGTACGTCATATTATCATCAATAAACACTTATTACATCTTAATCGTGGTGTTAAATGTCGTGTTATCCACACGCAATCATCTTTTTAAAGGCAATGATTCCATACTTCAGAGATAAGCACGATCTGCTTGAATGTGGGAACCTTAGTAAACCATTTATGGCACGAAGCCAGTGATCAGAGTATCAAACAATAGTTCATTATTGCCTGGCCATGACAACATGTTAAAAGATATTTTAATAATATTTCACACGTTTATTCAGAATGCTCTGCCTAATAACATAGGGCTCGTTACGCTTGTATGGTGTTGACATCGAGCACTATTATGTTCGACTTTCCTTCGGTTTTATAAACACCCACCAATTTATTTGCCAACTCAAACATGTCATGGCGCAGGCTTATGACCAAAAACTGTCCCTCCTGTTCTTTTATCAAATTTGCCACCAAACTTACATTTCTGAAATCAAGTGCCGCGTCAATTTCATCCATAACATAGAACGGGGACGGGCTGTATTTGTGAAGCGCAAACACAAGAGCTAAACTGGCCAGCGTTTTTTCTCCCCCACTTAGCGAAGACACCTTGTTCCACGTTTTCTTTGGTGGCATGACCGAGAGAATGATCCCTTCGCTGAAGGGGTCCGTATAATCTACAAGCTCTAGCTCAGCATTTCCACCAAACGTTATGGTCTGGTAGATCTCTTTCAGGTGCTTGTTGATAGCAGCAAACCCGTTCATGAACCGCTCGTGTCTTTCGCTTTTTAGATCTGAGAACCGTTTAACCATCGCATTAAACGTATTCATGAATCTGTTGTATTCATTTTTTATGTTCTCATATTCAATCTTCTTGTTCTTGTACTCGTGCACCAACTCAAAATCTATTTTCTCGTTCTTCTCCAGCTTCTGTATCTTGAACTGAGTTTCACCCATCAAATTGTCTAATTCAGTATCATCTATTGTTTTATAGTCAACCGCACTGCTGTCGGTATTATCTACGTTCTCCTTGTTCACAACGGCATCGAATTCGTACCCCAATCGTTTGAACATTTTAAGTTCGTCCATATAATCGTTTCTCACCGACTTCTTCTTCATTTTTTCAAAATTCCTTTCCATCTTGTTCCTTATCTCAAGCTCCTTCTGCATTAATTCCTCTGTAACGTTCTTAAGATCATTAATTTGCTCGCACAACCTCTTTATCTCATCCTGTTCATTTTCATACACTGTTTCAAGCTCCATACATAGCTTTGTCTTGGAATCGTACTCTTTCCTGATATCATCCATGCTTTCAAGCTCTTTCATCTTCTTTCTTGCATCCTTCAGGGTGTTATCAATGTTTTCGAGCTTTTTCTGCGTGTCTGTGATAAGTATCCGGTTCAATTTCTCCTCTAAATCCTGATTTCTCTTTACGAATAGGTTTATCTGGTCAATAAGCAGCTGCTTATCACATGTCCGACCCTTAATTTCGTTTCCCTCGAGATTCTCAATTTCCTTGCGCAGGCATTTTATCTCATTCTTCAACTCTGACACCTTTCCCACCAATATATCCATTTCGACATTATCTTCTTTGAAAAGCACGTTTAGATCATCTGCCTTGCTCTTTCCCGTTGATTTGCAGTAAGAATCAATCATCCGTTTCATTTCTTGCTCCAAATCTTTAATACACTCATCCACACTACTCTGCCCGTACAGAATATTTCTCACTGCGCTTATTTGCTCTTCCTTTTCTTTAAGAAGGCTTAGCATATTCGATTTCGCGGCCTCAATCCTGAGTAGCTTCTTTTCGAGCTTTTCCGTATTAATTTGTGTGTTCATTGAACCAAAAACTTTCATCTTCGACATAATCCCGCTCTTCTCCACCAAATCACCCTGCAAACTCACTGTTCGGTGTCGCACCTTGCGATTGAATGCAACATTTGTCGCTTCATCAAGATTGTTGCATAGAATCGTATCTTTCAGCACAAACGAAAATGCTTTCCTGTATTTATCCTTGCAATCAATCAAATCAATGCAGTAAACAAAGTCTTTCTCCTTCTTAAACTGGTCATCCATCAGTTTGTCCATGACAAGGAATGATGTGCGCTTCAAACCACAAGCGTTAATTATTTTTATACACTTTTCTGCCGTTTCAACGCTGTTTACAACAATGTTGTTGAGTTTTCCCTTGGATGCTGCTGTTATCGCGATATCATATTTAGAATCAACCCGTCCCAAATCACCTAGCCGGCCGACAAATCCATCCACACTCTTTATTTTTGCTATTAACTCTGATTCCGTCTTCTTCGTTGTCCTCTGCTGTTTTGCTTCCCTCAATAGTTCTTTCTTTTTCTCCAAATCCTGCTCGGTCACAGAAAGGTCACTCTTGAGCACTCTTACATCAGTGCAAATGTTTCTGTCCAGGCCCCTCAAAATATTTAAGTTCTTCTCACATTCCATGATCTTGTCCCTCACTATTGTTTCGTCTCGCTTCACTTGATTAAGTCTTATACCGCTCTTTTTCTCGTTCAGATGGAGAATATCCTTCTCATGACACGCAATAAGAGCTTTAAGATCTTCAATTTTATCATTGTACTGGCAATTTTGTCGCAATTGGTAGAGTTCATCCTCTTTCGCTCGTAATCTCTCTTCAAAAACTCCAATTTCCTTCAAATTTTCGTTCTTTTCGCCCTGTATCGTTTTAATTTCAATTTTGTTCATTTTCTGGTTCCTTAAAGTGTCTTCATGCTCTTGCATAGCTGTTTTTTCTGTTTTAACCAGCATCTCATAATCTGTCTCTCTCCGTGAAATTTCCCTGTTGATCCTGCTAACCTCTTGTTTGCAAAGAAGGAAGTCTCTTTCCTTTCGTGACAGAGCATTCTTATGTTTCACCAATTCACCTTCAAGATTCTTTATTTGCTCCACATCATCTTTATTTTTCACTTTACCCAGTTCTTTCTCTAGCAACTCATTTTCTCGCACGAGCTTTTCTCTGTTTCGTCCATCTTTTAATTCCTCCAAATAGTTCAATTTTATCTTTTCTCTCAACCACTCAGCCCTCTGGTTCAAAAGCTGTTCGTTCGCTTCATTTTTTGTCTTCACGAAGTTAAACTCCTTTTCCTGAAATTTAAAAGAACTCTTCATCACGTCTTCTTTCTCTTTCAGACCTGACAGCTGCTGCTCCAAACTCACAATCTCCTCATAATACGTATTTGTACCGATTATGTCCTCCAAATACTCCAGTATGCCCACGTTTTTTTCATCTTTAGGCTTCATCATTGCTATAGCCTCTATCTCACCCTGTAATATGAGAAAACGATTATGATCCAAGTCAACGTTGTAGTGTTTCATTTTATCACGCACCTCTGCAACGCTTACCTCATTATCGTTTACATAATACAGCGATCTGCCCTTTATAAGCTCCCTTTTCACCGAAAATTGACCGTCATCAGCTGCAAATTTTATCTCCACATAGCAGCTATCCTTACCCTTGTTGATCAAGCCTGCGTTTATCTTATGTCTCATTTTCTTTGCGCTATATCCGAAGAGAAACAACACGGCATCGATTATGTTACTCTTGCCTGAACCATTCGATCCAACAACGGTTGTAAAGCTTGAAATGTTGTTTATTTTATGTCTGCCCTCGTACGATTTGAAGTTGAAAAGCGTTATATCGTTCATTCTTAGGTTATAACTGTTCTTTCTTTCTGATATACACTGTTCGTCTGCTTTATTTTTTGCTTTTATATCTTTCCTGTCCATGTCACCCTGCGTACATGAGGTATGACCAGCAATATGATTATCATGTGTATCTATCACACTCTCAGTAATATGCTCTGCTCTGTTTTCTCCTCCATCTGTACATCTGCTTTTCTCCTGTTCCAATACCGTTTCTATCGAGCTGAGTTCAACCATTTCCTTCTCAAGCTTTTTTTGTTCCTTTTTGTTTATCTTTATGCCCTGCTCTTCCGTATTGCTGATCTCTTTTTTCGGCTTTCTTTCTCTTTTCGAAGATTTTTCTACTTTGTCATCTTTTTTATCGTTTTGTGCCCTCGCATTCCGTCTTCGCTCTTGCCTGCCCATCTTTTCCATTTTTTTTCTTTTCATCGCCATCCCAAGGGTGAATTTATTCCGAATAATAACAGAACAGAACCACACCGGCCTGTTCAAATACGAACCTGGTCAATCACCGTATCAGCTGCAGATGTGTTTGAAAGTTTATGACTCAGTATTTATAGTGGTGCGCTTCGGAATTCACAGCAAGGAGCAAGAGGTAAATAAGTTTGAATGCTTTGTTCGTTTGTTAGGCAGACTGCAGCTTGAATACCTCACAACATTCAAAATTTGCTCTGTATCAAAGACGGAACAAAGCTCACTTTTCTAGTTATAGATGTCGAAATGAAGAATGTATCAAATTTTTATTTTCATTGTAATATCAATCAAGTTCGGACTTTGATCCTGTAATATTTTTACATTTCGTTTATTTTGCCGTGAACTAGAGGCTGTGCAAGCTACGGCAGATGAGAGTGCGCCAGAGAAACATATTTGATACATGTTAGGTAAAATATGCAGTACTAGTAATTAAATATATGGTTAATGAAGAGGAATCCGTTTGTATACAGTATTTAATCGCTATTACCTTTATTTGTTATCCTTTCTCTCTAATTGACGTGTTTACACAATTTCGCATCTATAAAATTAACCTATAGGACTAAACTGCCATGGTACAAGTTTTATGGATAATACTTCACTAGACAGATTGGTATAACACCATATTTTTGCTTCATCTAGTTATAAACTAAGAATATAGCGATACATTGAAGCACTCATTTTTAATGTCTTCCAAATCATCATGGTTACATTGTTTTTAATCATTGAATGGGCACCATTTAGCTTGATTCTCTTGGACCAAGTAATACTCGATTATCTGATTGCAAAATTATTTTTGTTGCCTAAGGTGTAGACATTAATTAATACCACACACATTACTTAATATTTACCAAATATAATTCTCCTGGTGTGTTAACGTTTTCTTGGTTTTTAAACACGTTGAATACGCAGTATAATTGAACATTCGTTGGTTCAAGTAAATAATATAGCATGTATTTAGAGATATTAAAGAGCTTCATTACTATATCTCAAGGCTGGCACTATGGTAGTGCTGAACAATTAAAACCCTTATCCGATGTGAACACATTATTAATAACTAGATATTTAATCAAACGAGCTTCATTTAATATTGTCATTTTCTTTTATAGGTTCATTATTTTTTATGAACTCTAACAGCATACCTCGAATCTTTTCCCCTAGCTCTCTGAAATCACCCTTTATCCCGTTCCCTAGCTCATTGAAACAAAACATGGCCAGATAGTGACCCGTGACCGGCTTATTTTGGATCTGATCCCATTTTGTGTCAATATTTTCCATATTAAATTGCAACTCATCAGGTCCTTCTTTAACGTATGCCACATCAAGAAAGCCCAAATTGACATAAAATGAAAAAGAAATGTGCATCATGGGATCATTAGGATTTAAATGAAGCGCAAAAATTGGTTTTGTAAGGTTGTAACGCTTAATTAACCTGCTAGTGCTCTCAAAAATCAATGACTTGGCAAATCCTCTATTACGATAATCAGGAGACACATAAATGGTGTACAGCTCTAATACATCATATTTTGTATATTTTTTGTAGTAAAAGTTGTGTATAATTTGTATGTTTGCGATAAGTCTCTCCTTAGGTGATTTCTGTGCAGAATCGCGTGTACTTTCATGGTGCACATTCGAATTATTTTCTGATTCACTCTTCTCATTTTTATCTTTGCCATCTTCCTCTTTTATCCGGTAATAGGCTATATCGTACATGTTGTTGTAAAATGTAACCTTCTCCAAATTAAGTCGCTCGTTATTAAAGTACCGCTTAACCTCGTTAAAACTGAAACATGTCTGCGAGGTGTGTGCAAACGAGTTGTTATCTCTGAACAATTCTACAAGAATCGGTAAAAGCATAGAAAAGGGCACGGCATTTTTCATTATTTTAGAATTGTCCCCTTTAAGTAGGTGAACATGGACTTGATGAATGGGCAAGTTAAATTATTTGATCCAGAATAAATGACGTGAATGGATGAAGAGTATAAAATGATAGATATAAGCTATTAGTATGTGGTAAGGATCGGTTACACAGTATTTAAGTAAAAAGGACTTTTAATCTTGCAGGAATACCGTAAAGGAAAGAAAGGACAATGAGAATGAATTTGTTACATTCTCCTTGGGTCCAAGAAAATGGTTGAATGAACATCATTTCAAGTACCAATAACCATAAAATAGTCCTATAAAAAACCATTTGCACCAAATAGCCGTGGAAAATTTTCTGCTAAAAAATGAACTCTTCTACCAAAAATATATCATTGGCATGATTATTACACGTATTAATAGTGTTATTTAGCATAGCAGCTCCATACAAACCGAACATATTGCGTATAATCGCTACTTCGAGAGGTACAGGTATGTTTGGATCAGGAATAATAGGTTCCATTTTTTAACAGAAATAGCGTTGTCGATTTACTAACACTTTTGTGGGAAGTATCGTTTGTATTTGGATGTGATATGAGAGGTATACAAGTTTTAAGACCTTATGTGTCACTTTAAATGTTGTTTCTCGATTTACATATCTACTGCAAATCTGAATATACATGATTGACCGTGCCTTGACTAATCATGACCTGTAGCATTCGAAAAGAATTTGTTACCAACCAAGCAACGCGAAAAAGCACATGAATATTACCCGTGTACAAAACAAAATAAACGATATTTAATGTTTTTGGAGATGCTGGGTTAACTCCTTTCTGCTCGGGAATCTCTTTTCACAAAACGAGCAAAATAAAAAGTGATGCGGCTCAACAAAAGTGCTCGTACCAGCCATGCTATTCACCTCACGTTTTTCAACTTTAGAAACTTCTTCGTCGTGGTCTTTCTTCGGTTTCCTTCTTTTTTTGCGTTCATTATTTATCTGTGAACGTGCTTCAGTAGCTACGTCTACCTCTAATCCCATCTCCTTGCACATGTTCCTATGTTTGTTTCCATTCATATGTTCAACATATTTTGTCTTTTGCTGGTATTCCTTTTTACATATCGTGCATTTGTACGCTTTTTCTTTCTTAGTTTTCGGCTTTTTTGCCACTTTATATTCTGTTTTGACGTAATGTGTTTTGGGCATCAGTATTGCCATTTCTTTCCGTTTCAAGTATTGGACGAGTTGCTTGTATTTCCTGCAGAACCTGCCGTAAATTTCTCTTATGTTATTTTCATCAACAATAATTCTGTTCGCTTCCAGATTGGAAAGACATTCTCCAGTCCTTTTGTAGAAGTCCTCGTCAAAATAGCTGTCGTCCACATAAATACTTTCCTTTCTTTTGAGGACCTCGTAAGCTTCGAGTATCTTTCGTGTCATGTCACTATTATTTTTGTCTATTGTTGATTTGTAGCGGAACAATTGCTTTCTGTATGCCCGCTTAATTGCCGAATATTTATCGCTTTCAGTAACTCGCAAAATTGAGCAAGGTGTCTCTTCTTTACAAAACAGCAATTTTACCAGAAATTGGTAAATAACATACAACAAATAGCTGAATCTGCTCCAAAAATTTATTAGAAAAGTTTTTATCATTGGGGATAAAAGTCAACATAAAAATAAAAAATTGAATAGAAATGAGCATTTTCGTATTGAGAACGATCATAATTTGTTTCAATACACAGTTACCATATCTATTTACCGAGAATAATGTCCAGCTAGATCCATAACACGGTTATAATCACGACACGTTTAACAACAGGATCGAGCACCAACATCAGTTATAAATGCTTGGAGGCAAAATAAATCATTTATGTACAAATTAATAGTTTTTAATGATTTTTTTGCTCATTGCTTCTTGCTACGGCAAGCAATCGACATAGTACCTGATTACAGAACATAGCTTGTTAATTGTTCAACCTGTGTGAGTGTTGGGATGAAAAAAATTCCTTCTCATAAACATGTGTCATAATAACAGTTTATGCAGGCCAACCCATAGCATTACCTGTTAATACGCGTATCAAACATTTACTGTTGAGTTAAGCAGTTCGGGGTTAGTAACGGCTTGTCCATAATTTTTATTCGTCTAACATACTTCGTCATTCAAAACACACTATGTGTATCAGAATTGTTAACAATTTCATATACTTGCACCATGGTATACTCAATTATCTTCGGGTATCAATCAATACAGGATACTATCAATAATTACATAAAAAATGACCAACATTTCAGGCTTTCTATGGCACTTGAAATAAATACATGGAAAAAATGTGCTAAAGGTACCACAATTTATCTTTGATGGCCATTTTTTGGTTTTCATTTCTTTATCATTGAATTGTATCTCGTAAGATTGCATAGCACATGTAATGCTGTATGCACAGGAGAACTAGGAGTAGTTCGAACGGGAACATTTGGTTAGATAATAACTTAGTTTTGCATTCAAAGTCTGTTAAAGTTATTCCCAACTGATTCGAGTGTAACGAACAATTGAATGCCGATAAAGCGAGGATGTGTTCACGAAAAGGTAGTGCTTCCTTTTGATAAATATTATTGATAGATGGTCTGCACGCAGATTATTGAATGCTTGAGCTGTGCCATAACCATGGGAGTTAAACCACTTAAATTTCTCACCCCTATGACAAGTCTGCGCAACCAATATCTGGTAAGAAAAACCATGTTGGAAATGCTTTCTGACCGTGGATATCCAATAAAAGAATATCAAATGAAGGATTATGACGAGTTTGTGAATAAATATCCAAGTTGCGTGAAGGACACTTCCAATCTGCGCATTATAGTTCAGAAAGATAAGGAAATGCTTTTCGTATTTTTTTCGGATGAAGAAAAGATGTCTCTAAAGAACGTGAAAATCCTTGTAGAAAACATAGAAAAACAAAACATAAAAAATTTGATTGTTGTATTGCGAGAGGGAATAAGCCCTGCTGCGAGCAAATTTGCGCTTGAATGTCCGGTGAATATCACAATTTTTAAGGAGAAAGAACTACTTTTCAATGTTACCAAACATAGCTTGGTATTTAAGCACAGGATTATCACCTTGGAGGAAAAAGAAAAGTTACTAGAAGAGAAGAAAATTAAGGAGGAGCAGATGCCAAAGATTCTAGTAACCGACCCAGTAGCAAAATACTTAGGTGCGAAGAAGGGTGATGTGTTGGAGATAGAGAGAGAAAGCGAAACCGCGGGTTTTGCGTTGTATTGGAGAAGAGCCATGTAAATGTTACGAGGATATACAATAAAGAAGGATTAATTTACAGCTGTTTGAAACTGTGGTAGGCGTACTAAGTATGTTCTTAAACATTATCATATACTGATTTGCTGCGGACGGCGGAAGTTTAGCAGTTTCTGCCATGTGGTATTCAAAATAGATGTAATAATACGGTGCAAAAGTTCTTTGATCCTCTATAACAGAGAAAAAGAGCAGGTATTATGTGAACCAGATAGATGAGTTTTTAGTTATAAAATATGTTGGTTAATCAAGTGATACTTCATTAATAAGAACAGCTTTCTCAAGGTTTGGATGGTCTAAGACTGGAAATAATACAAACCAATTATTAAGTCCATTTCATACGTCAAAATATTATCTAAACCATTGGTTTTAGTTTTATGTGCAAATGTGCTTTCTAATCGTAAATATATGCGAAAAAATCTTTGATATAAGTAGTAATGATAGATATCATGTTAAGTTCATCATAAAAGAAGAAACCGTTGCCTCATATTAATGTATCTATTTTGAATGTCATACAGGGGTTGCATCAGGGGACTTCATTGGTGGCAGAGTATTTGAGATGACATTGTGTATTTCACAAAAATATTGGGAACGACCCATTTCTTGAAACTTGTTATCTAGACCAATTATCTGAATTGCTGGCCGCATCATATTTAGGTAGTGTGGTAAATTTATTCAAATAAGATGCCTCTAAATGGGTGTATACCCTATAACAGTGGAGTTTACGACCGAAAGCGCATGATGGTCTGTGCCAGGTAATACCAAACCGAAAAAGCAAGTTTATTCAAAGTTTAAATCCTCTTTATATGTTATAACTTGGCTTGAATGGTGAATTTCTGTTCCAGGCCGACGGCTCACAATGGTAAGGGTAGCAGGATCAATTACCACCAATTCTTTATTTGAAACAAACGCAAAATATTTAAGAGAGGGAAAGTTTATACGTTTTGCAAGTAAATCAATGAACCTACCGAGTTCTACGCCCTCTATACGTTCCCATCTTGGATCTATTAAGTTTTCTTCGCGTTCGATCAGCAATTCCCGAGGCTCAACTTTTTTGATGCTTGGCAGGATGCTGTCAGCTAAAAACCAAACAAAACGTATTTTGAGCACCTCAATATTAGACAGCGCAAAACCAGCAAGGTGCAAACCGAAGAACACGTTCGCATCAATGGTCAAAATTTTTATCTTCTTGAGCGAACCGGCAAGCATCCAGTTGTCTTTCATATGATTAGATCCGAAACCATTCGCATCTACGAACGGGTTGGAGATATCCAAGAGTTTGAGACTATCGGGTAAATTTTGGAAAATTTCTGTTGAAAAATCTTTTGCGTAAACTCTGAGAATCTGCAACTTCGGCAACGTTTTGAAAAGTTGAAAGTTTTCCTTTGTGACCGCAACCGATTGTATTTCCATCTTCTTGATGTTCTTGTTAGCAGGATTTTGCAGGATTCTCTTAAGAATCAAATTCGCTACAAAATCGGGAACGACACTTGGCACTACATGACCAGATGTTCCCATATCCACTGTATAATTGACCAATGGATGCGGGAGGCATTCAAAGTTATTCGTGTGTATAAAACGCAATCCGGTGCTTGCACTGTATCCCACAATATCTCCACAATCTCTGAGCGGACATTCATTTACAAATTGCAGATGTTCGATGTCGCGGAATTTCACTGCTAATGATTGCAATATACATAAATCACTACAAATATTGTGCCAACACAGGTAACGAACACGTGGTATGCCTTTAAATTTGATGTTGTTTCTTGCATGTATAGAAGCATGTATTTTTATACTATCAAAGCTATCCACGGACCTAATATCAATTGTACCGCTAAATTCAATGAGTGCCAATTCTTTACATGCATTGTTTAAGATAATAAGTGAAGAATTGTCCATAAAAACTCCCTTCAGTTCAACACGTTCATAGCGATTGGGAAGTGTTACAATTCCATGGAACCTGACATCACAGAGGGTGACCGAAGATAATTTCTGGGTAGAACGTTCTATAGGTGAAATCATTACCAACATATTCTCATTCAAGCGCAATTCTGTGCCAAGAAAACGTCTCAAATCGAACAAACCACACGACTCCGATATTGTTACGTACGTACATTCTTCATGAAACACTACTTTTGATTCAGGTGAAAGATAAACACGAATGAACGCTACTATTCGCATATCTGCTGTAATTTCTAACGTTCCTTTCATTTTTGCACCACTAATTTCCAGCAGTCTGCCGTTATGTTCAGCTTTATTTTTTAGTTTCAGGTACGAAAATGGTGAACCTTCCAAGAGCACTTCGGTAGATCCGAAGGCACCGTTTAGTTTCACCGTGGTACTTGTGTTTTTTACTGTGATGTTTTCACATGTTTCATCGATCGAAACGAACGAATTGTTATAAAATATGCACTTCGATATCTTGCAAATTTTGGAAGTGCTCGACAACGAAATACTTTGGTAAAAAACTGACTCTAAATATGATATTGCGAGTACATTGTCTGGAATATTGCTAGATTTGTCAATATCAGCCTGCATAAAATCAGCACTTGTAATGGTAATATGCTTTGGTAATGACCTCATGAACTCGACAGAACAGAATTTACACGCAACACTCTTTACAGCTTTTATTCTATCAAAAATCTCAGGATTAATCTCTTGCTTTAAATTGTCGATTTTCAAAAGAACATCGTTTATACTTTCGTGGTTTAAAAAAGAACATGCCAAGATAAATTTCAGTTCGTTCACTAATGTTTGATCACCATGATGTGTGTTGCTCTCTGGTATATTTTCTATGTTGCCGATTATGTGAATTTCTACGCTTAGCGATGATCTGGCCATGTTATCTTGGAACTTGTTTTGCAGTAGTTCCATATTTCTTACCAAAAATGAGCTATTCATGGACAACCGATGGAACAAAAATCCTATCGATAGTTTTTTCAGATCCACTTTCAAGTGGATAGGATCTGAGAGGACTGTATCTCCGTATGCATGAGCCTCGTTGTTGCAACTATCTCTTAAAGTAAGCGCAAGACTGGTGTTTACAGCTTTACGGAACATGATCATGGTATCATTGTCACCGAAGATGAATGATGCGAGATTTTTAACGTGTGGGTCGCTGATGTGCTTCATACTTTGTTTACACAGCACTTTGGGACTGCACACTAAATGTAAATCGTGTTGGAGAAAAACACATATCGCATAGGTAAGCCAACGTATTTTATCTTGATGCGGAAAGACATACTTGAAAATTGAACATATTTCATCGGTTGTAAATTTTGGAGAGATTTGTTCTGACAGCTTCATAAGTTTTTTGAATAGCCGTTGTTTGAACGGTACATAGATGATCTTATATTCGATATTCTTATTCTTATTGATTATGGTGTGATAGGACTGGTATTCTATCTGTCTTACTCCAAAATATCGACTAAGATAGTGCAAGTTATGACCAGTGACATCCATTTCACCTCTCGATCGTCTTTTTGAGATGCTTTTTTGTGTGCCATCTGAAAATGAGTAAAACGGCTGTCTATTTGAAAGAACTTCTAAGAAATTGGCCAAACCCGTATCATTCAGATCATCAACAATCATATAATCATCGAAGAACAGACCGAAATCGGTTTCAAAAAGCAGGATATACTTAATGGCAGTCTCAACATAGCTGTATAAGTCTGGAAGCATCGGTCTCAATAAATTACCAACATTTCTACTCTGCCAATTAATCTTATTGGTACAATGCTCATTTACCGTAAACGTGTATCGTAATCAATTCAATTACGATTGATCATGGCGGAAAGCGGCTGCAATCATGTTAGCTTACGCTAGAGTAAAAATATCTTTGCACAGATATACACGGCTTAACGATCATCAGGGATGCCCTTGTTTATTTCATTCTAATAGCACAGAGTAAAGATTTTGGTAAAGGGAGGCCAATGTCAAAGATGAAATGAATACAACTTTTCAATTATTACAACACGTTTACTACTATGCTGTTTGTGGCGGATATATGTCAATTATAGACGGTGCTTGATCCTTCTGCATTTAGATTGAATGTGCTTGTTTTACGCGTTAGTTTAATTTAATCATTTTCCGAAAAAAGATAGTTGGTTTTATAAGGCATAGGAATTAATTGACATGGCATTGATTAAAAATTGATGGGATAAACGAGTTAGTGGGTTGATGTTGTAGTACTAAGTGAATAAACGCGACGTGAAAAAGTGGAGATTGAATACGCGAGCCCTTTCAAATCTTCTTTTTTATATGGCCATTCTTGCTTATTGATGCTTAGCAGTTGGTACTTGGAGTATACCTATAATGCGTCTCACATGATATTAACTAAACGGTATCTACCCAGATATCACGTATACCAAGGCATAATTTAACACGATAGAGTTGTATGTACCACTATTTGAATTTAATTTACATTGCCTGTTCTTTTTACTGGCGATAATTTTGTTGTTAATTGAAAATGGACAGGCAGCCATCAAACCAAAAGGCTGTTAAGTGCAAATTATGAAAATTTCATTTGATTGCGTGCAAATTTTAATATTCTGCTCTGGTAATTCATTTATTAAATTCTGTTATTGAAGCCATGGTCTTCCGCGTACTATGCATGTATCTTCGTGCATAGGAACCCCACCGCATCCAAAAATCTTTTGCATTTTACCTGATGCCGGATTTGATCATCCTATCCAACAAAATGCAGAACAGAACATCTCATGAACCCGAACCCTATGACAAATTTACTCGTGATAGCAACCGATATGCTTCACAGCATCGTAGGTCTGAGCAATAAGATAATATTAAGCCGATTATTGGTAAGTTTCTAAAAATGTTCACGTCCAGAGAGCTATTACAATACGTTCTACAGCGTTGTTCATGGCGTTTGTAAAATTACCAATTTATTACTTTTTCAAAAATTGCATTTTTGTTAAAATAGCAAATTCGTGGTGGTTCGCAAAACCTTTTGGTTTTGCAGCTGCTCATTCATGCCAGAGAATCTTAAAGTGGTACAGGTACCTCGCGCTATCATTTTCAAAACGATACAAATAATTATATATTGGATAATCAGCTATAAGTAATAAAATTATTATTCTCTCATACCAACATTAAACAAGATTTTCTCATAAAACCATAATAGGCGTAAAGAATATAAATCCTGGCTTGTAAAAACCATGAAGCCCATCATAAATTAATAATGGTTATGCTAGTCCTTTTTTATTAAAGGAGCTTTTTACTCTACGGTTGACATTCAAATTAATATTTTTGCAATTGATAAAGATCTTAATAGCATGCTAACCGCTTAAGTTGTTCATTTCTATTCCATGTTCGCGGTATGTAATTAACGGATAAGCATTTCGTATAATTTACATCCTTTGTCCCTTTCTAATTCACGAATCGCTATTTTATGATTGCTGATAAGAATTCGTCTTTACAAATCATTCAATAATTGAAACAAAACTAAAATTGCTACCCTTCTTTATTTAAGTTTATGCCAAATTTTTGTACCTGCCTGTCACATTATTATCGCGTATGTTCATTGCACAGAAGCACTGAAGATCGCATTTGCACATGATTCTAGGTTTTAATTGCTCCAAAAAACACATGCAGCATAAAACACCCAATATCATCAATCCTTGTCATCTTTTTAATTAATTTTTTTTTACTCATTAAAGAATTTTCTCAACCCCTCGATGCTTCCTGTGATCATTATAATTTTTTCGTCTCTTATTCTTGTATTTTCCATTCTTAGAAGAAAGTCTGTTGGTACGTACAGAAGTAGCGGCTCAAATTTGGACGTTTACTACGGACTGAAAGAAAACGCAAACATTACTATCAGGACGAAGACGCTGCTGGAAGCAGCCATCGCAAACCTCAAGCAACGCGAGGATAACTACTCGAAGAAGTACATCATACAACAAATGTACAACCAGAGGCTGTTGAGTCCCAGGATATGGGACAACTTAAGGACACTAATCAAGGACCTAGAGTACGAACAGCTTGTTATTGAAGCCGAAGCAGAATTACTTAAGCCGGGATGGAACATTTTCAGTGATGCTAACAAAATGCTCCCTCACCAGAAGAAGAGAGAAGAAAAAATGGACAAGGAAAACAGGACCAAGGAAAACTCCTTCTTATTAAAGAAGAAAGAGACGCTAGAAAATCAATTAATGACGAAACTAACGGCATTACAGTCAAAATAAATATGTTTCTGTTGAAGTGAGACAGGGTCTTCTATACTTAAGAATAGCTTTCAAGTCATTTTTAATTTTTACGTTGTAGTTTTTATAGCAGTTTTGCGTTCATTTTGTCGATTTTTTCCTGTAGGATTTTTATTTTATCGGAAAGTTTCTTGATAATGAAATCCAATTCCTCAATACGTGCTTTACATAAATCAGCATCTGTGGTGTGCAGAGAAAAAAACAACGAACTCTTACTTCTTTTATCCAAGGCCTCTTCCAAATTTAAATTCACATCGTCATTTCTCTTTTCCATGGGATACAATTTAATTTGAAGATCAGAAATGATGGTGAACACCTTTAATTCAACTGATTATACACAGAGTTGGGAAGAAAAACAAGCTTAGTTTGTGTTCAAATTATTCTTTTAGATCAAACAAAAGAACATTCGCCAATAAAATGTGTTGTCTAGAATTCAGATTGTGTAAACGAGCAATTCACTACATTTTCATCCACGGAAATAATAAAGCATCGATTGTTTTTAATAATACGAATTTGGAAAACTTTCGCCTCTAACGTGTCATCATAAACGCTCTAGCACGTTTTAATACAAAATTTTATTCAACAAAAATGATGATGGCTAGAGCTGCTCATTTTTTAAACGAATGAAAAAATGCCCTTTGATGTTCCAAGCAGAAAAAATGGCTGGTGTTGCTCATTTTGATAGCGATTTGTCGAAGAATTCCACGTTAATAGTTTCTTCACCCAACGGATTACTCTCAATAATCAAGCACAATAAAATCGAGCACATTAAGTTCGATATCGAACAAAAAAACGTAGTAATATATCCGGATGGTGATGAACTGTTCACGACCTCCGACGAAGAGCAGGGCTTGCGCGTATGGGATTTAGAATCAAAGAAGATTGTTTTCAGCTATCCCAGAGACAGCTTAAAACACCATATCTACATGCAACACAATAACATAGCAGCCCTAACGAGTCTGGGAATAAAATTCTATGATTTGAGAATGAGGTACTCGTATAATTTTTACGAAAATAAAAATATCACCCAACTGGACTACAACAATGGCCTGTATTTTGCTGTGGATTATAATGTTTTCGCGTACCAGAACAACGATAGAGTTCCAATATACAGCTCAGAAACGAGAATCAAGGATTTACACGATGGAGTTGTCCTTACTACCGACCATTTGTATTTTATTGACGAACAGGTATCCAAGAGTCATTGTGCTGACCGGATAGCGCCTTTGCATCATGAATTTAAAGGACAAAAAATACTTGCAAGCACGGTGGAAAACAATCTTGTTAATTGGATTGGTTATAACCATCAGTTTAAAGAAAGATTCAAGCAATTGGATAGAATCGACCAAGCAATAAGTAACGAGGATGTTTTTTACATCTTTGGCAATAAAGAATTGTACAACGTTAGTTTTGATATGTAGATGGTGGCACGATTTAAACATAAAGTTGTTTTAAAGATAGAAAATACCTACCATTGGAACAAAACATACCTAAATTTTATCAAATTAATTTTGTTTAGCATACTTCCACACGCTAAGCACATCATAGGGCACACCTAAACAAGGTTGAAAGGTCTGGGCTAATCGTTGAAGGTAGCATTTTTTAACTCCTGTGCATCGCTGTTAGTATACCAATTAAGTACGTTTTTCATCATGAATAATCGGAAACAACATCAACAACGGTTTATTTACCACATAATCCCTGTTTTCATCACATACTCGAATTGTAGTTCACGAATGAGTTGTCCAGTTATGCTATTACTTCGTAAACTACCAGCCTCGCAATGTTTGATTAAAGATTGCGCTATACACCTACGTACTTCTATCATGCCATCTAACTTTTTGATATCTTTCTCCTGAGCTCCTCAACCTCATTCATCAGCTCAAATATCATTCTTTTGCTTTCTATTTTATTTTCAATCAGCTTCGTCCTCACTTCCTCTCTAAAGGTATCATTCTCAAAAAATTTAATTTCGCTATCCAACTCGAAACATCTGAACTTCGATCCGGATGATCCTTCCAGTACCACCCCAACAACATCTTTTCCCAAATGATATTCGATAACCTTATCGCTAATTATAAACAGCTCTCTCTTATTTTTGAAGATGATGTTCTGCCCGCCGTACGATTCTATAACCTTTACTATTTTCTTGTTTCCCACATCCAAAATGTAAATGCTGTCATCGGTCAAAAAGGCTATCACCGGCAGGTATTTGTTTATACACATGTCTACAACAACAAGACTTTCCAGATCGATGATCTCCTCCGGCAAATCGCCTTTTAACGTGTAAAATTTGTTCTCTGCACTTAGAATGAATACCACACCGTTAAAGAGCTGTAATTCCTTGATTGTAAAGTCGATGTTGATTGCACGATCGCCAAAATACATTTTTCTATCCTCCCAGAACAGATAGTCATTAGAACATGATTTGAGGCCCTTAATAGTTGCGGGCACACGTTTGATTACTTGGAAATTTGTATCGCTTTTCATCAATACCAAGTGATCGTTCGCGACTAAAAAAATTGGAGAGCTGAGCGAAATGAAGCGTATGTCGTAGTAAAGCGGAATGATGCTATCCGTTACTTTATACAGTGTTCCATGCGAATATCCGTATAATATACTGTCAGCATCGATAAAAACATCTTCCATTGCCATGCTGGTGTCAATTGCATAAACATTGCTATATGTTGAACTGTTTGAGGTGTGGAAAAGCAGTTTTTGTCCTTTATCTATCTGAACGAAGAAATGCATAGGGTAAGAATTTCAAGTTTTGTAAAATTTTGATGTCTTTTTTATTTTTAATTCACAATTGCTGCAAAAGTGCTAAGAAAAAACCTTCACTGTCGCTTTGCACTTCATGCCATTGAAGGACTAAAACCTTTACACCATACTCCTATGCTCAGTTTTAACGAGTGACAGTTTTCCACATCAAAGGGTCCTTTATTCATCACGCTATGGTTTTATTTATAGGATGCTCCAAATAAATTAGCTTATTTGTTACCTCAGTTTTGCCTCACTACCATATCATGCCACTCCACTGGCAAGTTTCAGCATAAGTAGTATAATGCAATCAAGTCTTCGTATTTAAATATAGACTGGAGTATTGTGATAAATGGCACGTTCATTCCGCATCTGTACACATACCGCTCCGCCATACTTTTCTACCAAATATTTTTCTTCTAATTTGCTGTAACACCAATAAGCCGTACAGGGACACGGTTCTTTTCGTTTATGGCGTTCTTTGCGTGTCACTAAGTTGGTTGATTTTCCTTACCCATGATGCTCGTTCTTGGGATCGAAAGCAGTGCGAACAAACTTGGAATAGGGCTGATAAAGGATGATAAGATAGTGTTTAACAAGCGGGTAACACACTTCACGCCCGCAGGCACAGGATTTATACCGTCCGAAACCGCAGCGCACCATGCACGAAACATATTGCCCCTTCTTGAGGAGTGTATCGAGGCCACAGGTATAAGGTTGTCCGCTCTGGACCTCATAGCCTACACAAAAGGACCGGGAATGGCGGGTCCCTTGCAGGTGGGCGCTATTGTGGCACGAACATTGGCATTGTATCTTGATAAGCCGATTGTACCGGTAAACCACTGTGTAGCTCACATCGAAATGGGAATAAAAATTACCAAGGCCAAAAATCCTATCATTCTGTACGCTAGCGGAGGAAATACGCAGGTAATAGCATTTTCCGGAAAATACAAAATATTTGGCGAGACTTTAGACATAGCCGTTGGGAACTGCCTGGATAGATTTGCAAGACTTGCCAGAATATGTAACGATCCATCTCCTGGAAGAAACATTGAGTTGCTTGCGCAGTCATCACACGAGTATCTGTACCTGCCGTACACTGTGAAGGGAATGGACGTATCCTTAACAGGTATTCTTTCATACATTTCCTCAAAGTATGACCTTAATAATGAAGAAACTGTGCAGGCGCTGTGTTATTCTCTACAGGAAACGATTTTTTCTGCGCTAGTGGAGGTTACGGAAAGGGCTATGGCGCTTACCAATTCAAATGAAATAATGATTGTGGGTGGTGTAGGATGCAACGAAAGGCTGCAAGCGATGATGAAAGCCATGGCGAGGGAACGGGGAGCGATGCTTTACGCGATGGATGACAATTACTGTGTTGATAATGGTGCTATGATAGCCCATACAGGAATGTTGATGCACGAAAGCAATCAGATTTTTACGCTAGAGCAGTGCGATGTTGTGCAACGTTTTAGGACTGATACGGTGTCTGTCACGTGGAAAGAATGAAGTATTATTAAACAGGTGAGTTATGGCTAAATTAATGTAAAAGATAGATTTTTAGCGTTCATTCAGGTGCTCTCCGCCATATTTTTATCAAAAAGAGTTGTTGAATGCTGCTTCATCCTGAGACAGCCAAAAACAGTCAATTTGCTTAAAATTAAATGAGAACAGTCGTACTACTTTTGAGGTGGAGAGCACTTCATTATTCTTCTTAAAGAAGAATATTTTATTGAGGAATATTCGAAGATTGTGATATAAATACCTGCAACAACAAATTTAACACAGAAACAAGGAGATATAAAACAGCGATGTTGGTGTTGGGCTTGTTAAGAGTTTTCTAAAAATATAATGCATTAAACAGAACCTGAGAAGAGGATCGCAAAAACTCAATGGGATCAATAAATGTATTTTTAGTAAAAAACAGTGAGCAACAAAATTTAAATGAAAATGCCCATAGTTCCACCCGTTCTCACGCACATGACACTGTTGCTTGTACATTTTTGTTATTTTTTTGGTGCCGGTCAATTCGTACTGGAGTTGGGCTGACAATGAACAGGCAGATTAAATTTTTTATCTGATATACGGTTGGCATCCGAGGTACAGCATTTATCAAGTGCCGATCCTGCTGGTCGGTTTTACCAATATAATATCCTGTCGTACTGTTTGTAGTTAATTAAAAAGTAGCTACTCTGTCACCAAATGGCAACGGATAATGTTTCATTTTCCAATCAAAATAATACCTTGTGCCATGTTATGGTCGGCAATATCCTTCTATACCTTAACCAAGGACAGATTCTCTTTGTGTATAATTTTTCATAACATATCGAGCCCTGATTGCCTCTAGTAAATGGTCCAAACTGTTTTGAATGGCGTATTTGCATACCAAACAAGAGAAAGTGAAGAAATTCAGGCAGAATATTATGTGGAAAACATAATTATGTGGGATGTGCTTAAAGAACTGGATGAAAACTTACATTTTGTGGTAGACACAAAGAACAACGTGTGCATGTTTGATTACGTAACAAAAGACGAAAAGAGAAATATTAAGGGAAAGTGCTATCTGGTGTACAAAACAGGTGCTAATTACAACTTTTACAGCCTGATAGAGACCAAGGATGATTACGGAACGTTTATGCTGATCAACAAAAGAAAGTACCAGCTGATTGAGGTCAGCAACAATCAGGAAATACGAGTTATAGAGAACTGCGAAAGTTTCGAGACACAATTTACAGAAAGTTGTCAAGTGTCGCAGAGCGACAACACCTTGTCAAATATTTCAATCTTTTCGCGAAATTCTGAATTGATCTGTAATTCCGTAGTATACAACGAAAATAACCTGAGCTACTACCATAGCCAAATACTCCGATATAAAAATTACGATCTTAAATGGAAAATTTGCAAAGATGAATCGCTGGAAACAATTATTCAAAAATATGTAAATACGTTCAAGTTTAACAATCATACTCGAATAAACCATTTTTTAATGACGACAAAGAACGAGGAAAGGCATTATTGTAGTGTTTTATCGAACAGAAGCGGTCTTATCGTGGTTGTGAGTATGGCAGAGTATTATCTAAACGGTGATTATATGAGTGTCATATTGTACAACAAGTTTAACCAAGGTAAAACATATGTGTGCGAGCGACTGCTCGATACAAAGCTGTTGCAACCATGTAATATTGCCATGAAAGTATCAACCTGTTCGTTTTCATTATCAACTGAATCCTTTCTACCAAAAATTGACCTAAACTACAACTTCGTACTAAAAATACTATCGTGTTTTCTGAACGAAAGACAAATGCTTTTCTATTCAAGTAACAAAGAGAAAGTGTATAAGACAATAGTGTTCTTTATTAAGATCATAAAACCGTTCAACTACAAGTTTTTCATATCTTCAAGACTGCCAAATGAATTCCAGGATATTCTGAACTCACCGTTTCCGTTTGTACTAGGTGCTGACGAGAGAACAAACATGGCTATTGTTCATGTAGATCTTGATAATTACGAGATGTTTAACTTCACCGGAGACGTCTTGCCATTTGAAAAAGAGCTCAGAAAAAAGTTTCGAATAGGTGCGCGCGAGAGCATGAGTATGAATTACCTGTCTATATTCAGGCATTACTTTACAATAATACATAATAACTTGGATATTGCACGCGAAACGTTAATTAACAAGAATCTAAAGGATTCTCATGGAATAAGGAATTTGATTCACAAGCCCGAGACGATCAAAACAGAGATTAAATACTTAAACGATACCTTTACCGAAAGCTTTATGGAGACAAGGATTTTTAAAGACTATATCAGCGGTCGAAAGGATAATTTGATGCTATATTATACAATACGTAGTCTATGTGATGAAGAAAACACTGATAATACGGCCTCGAACAGTTTCTTTTCGCGATCAAAATACATCTTAAACAATTGTGTTCTGATAAGCGGGCGAGACCCGTTTATCTACAAGATATTTCTTATGTTCTGCGAAAAAGAGCCAAAAAACATCATATATAATCTTTTGATACATCCCCAGATACTCGAGGGTATCGCTCCCGATATACTGGAACTGTATAGTTCAAACAAAAATTACAATGAGATTTGCTGGTTCATCGAATTGCTCAAGAGCAAGCACATCGAAATCACACCAGAGATGTTTAATTGTATTAATTACAGCGAGAATTGTGACAAAAGAGCCGACGACATGGTAGAGCTGCAGGACTATAAGATTTACGTCTTTGAAACGTGCAAATGCCATGAAATTTCACAAAATGTCAGAGAATACCTGCAGGCGTGTTTAACGACCGCAGATAAAACAATAACTGAGGATCGAGATGTTGATATGGACCTTCATTCTAATAAATGCCAGTACGATGAAAACAATCTGGCATCAAACGTAGCAGGTGAGCAGTACAATACGACATATACGTATGGAAATAATCCAATAAGGAGAAATAAACGTGTTTGCAGATGCAAAACCAACTTTAATGGCATTATAGTGAAGAAAAAAAATAATTTAGTCGGCATTTATGAGATATTTTCGCCAAAGGATCTATTCGTGTTTATAAAACGGAATCAACCGGTTAGCTTATTAGAGCTGGAACAGAATATTTTTTGGAATGTTATAACTTATTTCCTGATTTATGATTTGCCAATAAATTTTAAGAACACCAGCAACGAAGAATGTGAACTAATAATTGAGGAGAACAATGAAAAAAGATGTTTTAATTTACTGAAATTGCCACAAATAAAGTTTATTAATTAAAAAGTAATTAATATGAACCAAGCTGTTGAACAATGTTGTTTGAGATCCTTCAGTTGTTTTCTTCCATCCATTTCATCCTCCTAACTTCGCCGAAACACTTTTTGTCTTCCTCCAGTTCCAAGACAACCAACTGCTTTCTCTTTTCCTTTTCTTCTTCCTTCATTTTATAGTCCTGTATTTTACATTGTAACTCAAATCTTGTCGGATGCCACGATTTCTTACAGTTTATGTTTTTGGCCATGGGGTCGGGAGATAAGAACGATATTAAAAATATGAAGATTGTTGTTAATATGAGCTTATTAAGTGAAAATGTTTGAAACATTCTATAAATAATCGATAAAGCGTGTTTATTACATATTTTAAATGAGCCATCGACATATCTGTGTAATAAGAAAAATTAGTATGCATAGGTTTTATGCATGAAGTATTTTATTGTTTGTGGATATTAAGCGGTGCTGTGTATCATTTTATTCCATAATAGCACAGCATCTAGTGATGATGTGAACAACTGGTATTTTAGTGTTGGTGCGAGAAATAAAGTAATTCGCTGTTTAGAACATTTTTCTATGACAAATGTGATTGCAGTGTTATACTGTGATTATTTGGATGTAATAGTTTTACGGTAAGAGCCTAATAAACAAAATATGTTGAAATGCGAGAAAGTTTTTTGTAATAAAAAACTTTTTAGCGGAATGTTCAAGAAAAAGACCATGTTTGTACTTTATAAGCATGATTCTAAGATATTAGCATTACTACCGGTTCTCTTCTTGTTGTATGGGAGATTTCTCGGTGTGATTGCAGGTAAAGGATGATAATTAATGATTCATACTGTAATTACCATAAAAAACATGTGATAAATCTGCAAAAGTATCCAAAATATGTGAGTACCTTGAATTTTATTATAAAATAAGCTAAACGCTACCAAACATGGAATTGTACATGAACCAACTAGCAATTCATCCTACAAAACAAATTTAATCCTGGCACTGGATATGGTTTTGCCAGTTCTATTATTTTGTTTCGTAGTTCGGTAAACCATTTATCATCCTTTACCCGTTTTTTGATCTCATCCACGTTTGTTAATTCAAAGTTACCGACTCGCTCAACGATATTAACCAAAAATAAGGCAACTTGAGCGCACTCCTTTTCCTTAAATCCACGTATTGTGATGGATACAGTGCTTACTCTCACCCCACTGGGATGAAGCGCGCTTGTATCGCCTGGCCATGGATTTTTATTAACAGAAATATTTACGAAATTACAAATCCATTCAAAAAGGGCAGCATCCAATGTCAGGACACGGCCTTTGAACTCAATGGAACGCATATCTAACATAGCCAGATGATTGACAGTACCGCCTGTTAGAAGTTGCATACCATTCTCACGAAAAATTTTACACATAGATTGCATATTTTTTAGGACCTGTGCAACAAAAGCTTTGTACTCGCCAGCCTGTGTGAGTTTGAGGGCGGCAGCTATCCCAGCAACGGTCTGGTAGTGTATGCTCTTCTGAAATCCTGGAGATATGCTTTGATTGATCAGGTTTTCAATATCCACTCCATTTTTATTTTTCCTGTAGTAAACTATCGCTGCCTTTGGACCTCTTAGCATCTTCTGCACCGTGGTTATCGCTATATCACAGTATTCGAAAGGGTTGTTCATCATTCCACAAGCAATCATCGCAGATACGTGCGATATATCAGCCATCAAGTAAGCATTGTTCTGATCAGCAATCTCTCGCATCCTTTTGTAGTCGAAATCTCCCGGATATGCCGAAGCGCCACCTATAAGAAGTTGAACTTTGTTTTTCACAAAATCCTTTCGCATTTTTTCGTAGTCAATACGACCATCATCCTTCAACCCGTAGAAACAGCTCTCAAAGTATTCGGATGATGCCGACACTGTTCGTTGTTCGGTTTTAAACCCATGACTAAAATGTCCTCCACAAAACAAATCCATACCCATGAGTCTGCCTTTCTGACCAAGAAGAGCATTGTAAATCTCAAAATTAGCAACTGTGCCCGAGTACGGCCGCACATTTACTCCCCATACATTCTTGTCCAGGTTGAAGAAGCGAAGGGCCCGTTCTCGACAAAGGTCTTCTATTTTATTGACAACGTTACCTCTGTTGCCGACATTCTCGTCTATTTTTCCCTTTCCGTAGCTATTGTGCAGTAATGAAGCGGATGCCTGTAACACAGGAACGCTTACGTAACTTTCGCTTGCAACCAGCTCAACAAATTCATTCTGTCTTATATTTTCAGCTGCTATAAGTTTGTATAGTGCTGGATCAACATCTTTCATGTTCTTGTAAGCCGGATCGAACATAGGGGTGCTAACGTTGCGAAGTTATCTAGCAAATAATTTTAGACATATCCGTGAACAAGGATCGAGCTTCGCGGAACAGACAGAGTATTAAGTCAGTAAATGGTAGTTTTTTTCTTAGGATGATGTTCTAAAGCTCGAAATTAAGATTGCTGTTTAAGGAGCATATTTTACTTGATTTTGACATGAGAGCAATATTTGTTAAAAACACTTCAATGATAAACATGAGTAGAACAAATACCAGCAATCTAGTATTGTGAAAGCATCATAACCGTTTTTGCGGTATTGAATACAAACTATAAAGCAATTATAAGGTAGTGCCTGGCATTTTGAAGTTAGGTTATATTTCATCTTTCCAATAGCTCTATTTAACACCTTCTCCACACATTTATTCTCTAAACTGCATTTCATAGGGATCTACCCCTCATAGCCTTCACCATTGGCACCAATAACCATTTCTACACAATCCTACTTGGAATTGCAAACCAACCTATGAAGTCTTCCAAAGAATGGTAGTTATTCTTGGTTACCGTCGGCCCTTGTTAAATGCCCAGCATCTCTGATCTATTCCGCTATTTAACTCCTTCTACTGTGAGTTCGCACTTCTTATCCCTTGAGCGTACCACATCAGCTTTACACAGGGTACTATTCTAACTAATATAGATACGGCCCTGACCAGGTCATCAATCAATAAATACTCATTAGAGTGTTGCTCTAATAAATTTCTACATGCTAAAACATCAATCGTTCTCAATAGCCATACATCGTAACTTCTTAACCTTTGTTTTGGAAGTTGATTCTAATGTCGATGGGTAGTTTCACCCTTAATGTTTAATCTCACCGAAAAACTATTCTTTAAGAAGATAACAGGGCAAAGTAACCAATTGCCGGCCAGTGATGCAGCGTTGGAGCGAGCCGTACTCGATGATACGTTCTTTTTTCTGTGTGGAGTTAATACATGCAACATAAAGTACCACGATGACACGGACATCCTTGTAAATCCTGCGTACACAAACGCGAACGTCCTAAAAGCAATCAGGAAGCTCGGCTTGCAGGTAAAGTCGTTTGAAAAATATGTTTTTGAGAATGAGTACTGTAGTGATTCGCTTAAGCGCATTCTATCCGATGCAATAGAAAGGAAACTCGATCAGTTTCGGCTCTTTCTTGTTTCACATAGGGGGAAGGTGCAAAGCATCGAGGATCTTTTGGTAAAGCTATCCGATCATATTGACCTGTTCAATGAAATAGAGCGAATTGTTGGTATAGTACACGAAAAAAATGGTGATGAGATAATAAATGTCATAAAAGAGCGAAAAGACAAAATGGTGCACTTTAATGCTTTCTACGATAATCTCATACAGAGATTTGCGTTCGATATTAACCAGAGAATCAACCTATTCGTTTGTTATGGAATCATTAAGGTACCTTTTTTCATGGTGAAGGAGAACGACACGTTCAATTTTGACGAGAAATTCTTTACTAATAAGTTCTTTTTGGAGAATGGCCATGTTCCCTTCTACCTCAGAAGCAGCAAACTTGTTCTTGAGTGCGGTTTGTACAGCAGTCTAATAAGGACAATAAAGGCATCGGCAGAGAACCAGGGAAAGAGGTTGAACTTACACCACGATTTCTATGACATGATGCACGATATACCCTTTATCGATAAAACGATGAAAAGCGACGCGAAACACACGGATGACCGGGTTAATCCAGGAAGTGGAGATGGCAATAGACCAGAAAATGACGGTTCGCACTATAACTATGAGATGCTTTCGGTAAATCTACCCTACGAATATATCATGAGACAGCACAGCTATAAATACAAAATGTTAAACGATTTATGTCTGAAATACCTCAGCGATGAGTGGACAAATATGAAAAACTACATATTTTTGATGGACAGTGCCTTTTTTACCGATGTGCTGAGTGAGATCAACGAGAACATACTGGACAAATCAAAGAAGAACGTTTTAAAGATTAACAGAATAATCAGTAACCATAGCATTTCATTCTACATTTCAAAAAATAGTATTATTACGATAATCAGCAAAATCTTGAATCTAGAATTGAACTACGATTTCGACGAAGAGTTATGCATACTGGATGGTCTTTCGATCGAGTACAAGCCAAATAACATTTTCCGATTATTTTTTTCGAAAAAGAACATCGATGAACTCGAGCTCATTTTCAGGATGCTGTTCACGCTATTTGTTATTAATTTCAGCATCGTAAGGGAAGACCGCAATATTTTCAGCAACCTGATTCTAGCTTTAAATAACTTTCTAGTGTCCTCATTTTACACTAACAATATCCTGAGAGAAATTTTGAACACAAAGGTCTATGATTTAAACTCGTATATTGGCAAAGTTAATGAAATTATAAAAATTTCGCTCCGTGATCTTTATATCACGTCTTATAATGTGTTCAAAATACTCGGTGCATATTTCGTTTTGTGCTTTAAATACATCAAATACAAGAAGGAGGACCGTGAAGAGTTGAAAAAAATCATTCTTGACTTGAATACTGCGATAGATAACGAAAATTACAACATATTTCTCGCAAATTTACTGTACAGGATGAAGAAACACATTACAAACGAATAAATGATCTGTGTGCCTATTGAGCAAGCATATTTGAATAAATTCATCGCTTTCTTTCCATACTGTGATCAAACGATGGCTCATTTGTTATACAGCATGTCGCTAATTTGTAAACGATAGCCTTCATTTTTGTTTATTCAAGCAGTACCAACTCTATTATTACACTCGTCTGCACGTGCTTAAAGCGAATAGCGTATTGTTGTAATCTCTTTTCCATTCCTGTATATTTGTACGGTTTGGCAGACACCGATTGTGTCTTAGTCTTTGTGATCCCAGATCATGCAACATTTTCTAGATCAAATATTTTATAAAATGCACAAACTGCCACAACTCTAACGCTTAAAGTTGTTCACATTTTAATTTTTTTGTCGTGGCTATTTGCGATTTTTGACCGGTCGTATGAAACGAATAAAGTGGTTTAAACGATCAAATTAATGGACAAGAATGCAATTATGTACAATTTATCACATATATGTCTTTGTTAGTGGTGTCATTGACAAGTATGCTTGGGTTTGTGCATTTTCATCGAACAGAAAGCGTATCAAAACAAACTTGCTTTTGTAAAAAAAGTTTTTCAAAATAGTGTGAATACTCACCGAGGAAAGTTGGTATAAACACTCAATTTCAACGAACTCGTAATGTGCGCTCAGATGCAAGCACGTATTAATATCATAAAATGTGTAATCTTTGTTGTATTTCATAATTTTTTATATCAGCAAAGGAGTATACGTGCATACGGTAAATTTAACATTTATTTTGCTCTTTTCTTAAACATATCACTCAATCTACTCTGTTCTCTCTTATTTCTGCACTTCTCGTACCTGTCCAGCCCATTATTGATTCTCCGCTCATCAAAGTTTTTTTCTTTAAGAAACTCGAACACTCTGCTACGATCGTATTTTTGCCAATCAATACCAACAAATCCAACATCCACATTATTTTTCATACTTAAAAACGTTTCTCTCGCCTTCTCATACTCATAATCCGTAATATCCAATTCTTTCACGATGTTCTCGATGTTTCCATGCCTTCTTATCAATGTTTCAGCTTTCATAGGACCTATTCCTTTGATAGTTCCTGCGTAATCACATCCGAGGAGAATGCAAAGGTCCATGAACGCGCTAAATTCTAATTTCATGTCTCTGAGAATTTCATCGAGTCTGTATTCAGCCACAGTATCTTTCACAAAATTTTTTAAAAGCACAGGCGCCCTGAAACACAGGGCATCCATGTCTTCGGTGCACACATAGTCAACTATTCCCTTCCGACACAGTGTTGCACAGAAGGCCTCTGCCTCATTCTCTGATATTGTATACGTAACCCCCATTGCATCCAGGAGCAATTTAATCTCGTCTGTATGCTCCTTTCCTATCTTAAGTTTTCGCTTGTCATACTTTTCCATTTCTACCTTGTCCATTTGTTCCTCTGCCTCTGAGTACTTTTCGGCCGCGTTCTTTCTGCGCTCATTCCTCCGAGCGATTTCTTCGCTCTTCACCTGAGGTGGCTTACCATCGAAAACGAACAGCGGTTTGATACCGATTTCCGCTAAATTTATGATTTTGTAGAAGAAGCCACTGATATGAGACGTGCTTGTGCTGTTATATGCCAACTGTGCTCCATCTGAACGTATAGCGATCAAGTACTGGTATGTAAGAAGACTTGCATCAAATGCCATTTTTTTGGTTCGATAAAACGAAAGTGGGTGCTCGATTGGCCGGTAATACTTTTTTATGATCTTCGTTAGGTTGTGAATTCCCATAGCAGGGTTCGCGACGAATAAATTATATCAGAACATGAACCTGCCTAGATGTCACTACGTTTATTGCACCAACTAGAGAACAGCTCCTGCCCATTCTATTAGCCTGTGTAATGAAGAAAGTTACAGCGCTTTCAAGTCGTTAAGATCAACAGCAAAGTAATCCTCGTTACCTGGGATACAAGCGGCCTATCTCTATGTTGTAGCAAGAACACGATTGCCATAAATTGTTTAATTAAATGTAAGTAATACCAGGTCTACTTATCTTTGGTAGTATTCAAGCATGCAGTTCATCAGCTCATCTTCTCTTATCCGCTCCATTTCCTTCCTTTTCTCTTCAACAAATATGCTCAGATCCAAAAATTTCCTCACAAACTCCTCTTTTCCCGCACATTCTTTCAATGCACAGATACATTTTCTAATTTTTATGTCTTTCGATATGCCAAGCGCCTGACAGCGCACAAAAATGTTTTTCAAGTCATTGAGGTCAAACTCGATGCGTTCCTTAGTGTTGAGGGGAGGAGGTATTATCATTTGTTTTATTTTGTTTATTTGCGATTTAAATTTGTTCCATCATACTTATGTTTCTTTGGTGATTGATTATCTATTGCATTGAAATGACAGCATGGTGCGATATGAATGGAATAACATACGGATATTGCCGTTTAATATCCGAAAAACGTAGTAATACGGTACAAGCACGTATTTGGTAGCGAAGAAATGCGAGAAAAAGTTTCATAAAGCAAACCTTTAAACACCTAAAAATGATTGATACCGTGGAACGGGGTAAAATCCATTATTTACACAATACTACGATAAAAGGACGAAGGAGCGTTGCGCAATTGCGGTAGAACATATTTAATCGAGCTGATATTCGCGAGTACATGACACGACCGCGATTAGGTACATCTAGCACACTTCTGCTATTACAACATTGTTAGGTCCGATTCGTGTGATGAATTCTCCGTAAAAAGGTTTTCTCGTACTAACAATCAGTAATTTGTAAACAGAAAGCGACATTAGTGGTAGAACTTAGAACAGCTTTTAATCATTCGATCTTTCAAACAGATCAGCACCTGGTATTGGATACTCTCTGACCGTATCTTTCACCCTTACCCTCATCTCTGTGAACCACTCATCTTTTCTAACGCGTTCTTTTGTCTCTTCAACACTGATCAACCCATAGCTTGCCAGCTTCTTCATTATCTCGACCAACATCCGTGCAATACGCTCACAGCCATCCTCCTTCATTCCACGTGTTGTTACCGATACCGTGCCAACCCGTATTCCGTTCGGATGGAGACAACTGCTGTCATCCGGCAGAGAGTTCTTGTTGAGCGAGATGTTCACAAAGTTGCACACCCATTCAAACATTGAACCATCCAATGAGAAAACCTGACCGTCCATTTGGATGTTACGCATGTCAAGAAGTGCTAGGTGGTTAATTGTTCCGTTTGTTAACAGCTTTATGCCGTTCTCGAGAAACACTTTGGTCATGGCTTGCATGTTTCGTAACACCTGATCGATGAACTCTCTGTATTCCTCCGATTTGGCGATTTTAAGTGCTGCAGCTATACCTGCTATTGTCTGGTTGTGAGGACCACCTTGGCACCCCGGAAACACGCTCCTGTTTATCAAGTTCTGAATATTCACGCCATTCTTCATCTTTCTGTAGAATATAATGCCCGCTTTTGGGCCTTTCAGCATCTTTTGCACCGTGGTCATCACGACGTCACAGTACTCAAAGGGATTATTCATTCTTCCACATGCGACCAGACCGGATATATGTGCGATATCGGCCATCAGATAGGCCTTGTTCAAGTCGGCAATCTTTCTCATCCTCTTATAGTCAAAATCTCTTGGATACGCCGAGGCACCGCCTATGAGAATGCTTACCTTGTGGTCCACAAAGTCTCGTTGCATCTGCTCATAATCGATCGATCCATCGCTTTTCAGCTTGTAAGGATGACTTTCGAAATATTTTGAGGTCACCGATATTTTCCTATTCTCAATTTTAAACCCGTGACTCAAATGTCCGCCTGAGAAGAGATCCAGACCCATCAATCGCCCGCCTGGTCCTATGAGCGCGTTGTATATCTCAAAGTTAGCGATCGCTCCCGAATATGGCTGCACATTTACGTCCCACACGTTCTCATCGAGGTTGAAAACGCTCAAGGCCCGCTCCTTGCAAAGACCCTCAATCTTGTCGATTACATCGGTTCCGCCGTAATAACGCTCACCAACCATTCCTTCACTGTATTTGTTGTGTAGCAGAGATATGGATGCCTGTAGAACGGGCACGCTCACGTAACTCTCGCTTGCAATAAGCTCGATAGACTCTTCTTGTCGTTGCTTCTCTTCCATAATCAGGTTGTAAAGCTCCGTATCGGTGTCCTTCATGTTTTTGTAAACGAGTTTTGACATGAGGGACCGGTTCCGATTTTCCTTTTATACTCGCGCAGAACTCACTAATTTGAGCGGAAAAAACTTTTTATTTGACACGCAGCACTAAACATGATACATTAGTCTTTATTCGGTACATTATAGGTTAGAATGTTTTGACAGTTAGAAACCGTACCTCAAAACGAGCAGTACTCCACAGAACCAGGATATAACACTAAACACGTGCAAAAACTGTCTATAAACGATTGTAAGAATAAAAATTTCGTATTTTCCCGTTGTGAATAAACAATTAGATTGTTTCTAAATTGTATGAGATGGTAATAGCATCATGTCCTAATACGTAAAGTCCTTTTTTGCCTCCGATTCTACTCAAGATAGAAGCATCTAAAACAGTACGTGTTGCCCGCATCGTTCTGTCGAGCCAGAAACGGGTAATCAGCTGTAAAAGTAGAATAAAATGTGGAAACAAGCACTGCGTTAATCTGTGAAACTTCCAATAATAAATCTGTGATGTCATTCACATCCTTTTTATTACCAGGACTACGTACATCATCTCTTTCGATTGCTTAAGCTTATTCGTTGCTCTATGTGTGTTTAGAAAATTCAACATTCATAAATTGCGCTTACGTCATAAAGCACTCAAAACGAGTTGTGTGGTTGATCTGTACTAATTTACTTGTCGTTGTGTGCAAGCGGTACGTAATCAATAGCAGGTGTTGCACGAACCTTCCTTCATGTTAAAAACGGAGAAATAATCGTTTTATGACATCGTTGACCATGTTTCGGAGTGCACCTCATTAAATTATTACGTGAACTGCGTTGACACGCAGAATTAAAGCGAGTTGGTAAAAAAATTGGTTTCAGCAATGATCGCACTTACAGTGCTCTGGAACGTTAAAAGAAACTCAATATGTGCGCTATACATGTGGATCAGGTTCACAGTTCTGTAAATAGCATTCTATGCTGTTCGAGATTGAATCAAACACACCTTAGCCTAAATTGTTGGGATAGGTTGTTTATTAAAGGAGTTATTTGCTCCGTACAGGAAGTGACCTTCACAAAATAACTATTCAAATGTTGTGATGTACTTGCACGGATGTGTGCCATGTTCGTATTATTCCAAAATTTTACTCCTTTAAATACATCTGGATAAATCAAATAAATTCGCACTTATCAATTAACAAGGCACTTAGACGCACATATATCCTTTTGAGTTGACAGATTGTAATTTATCATATCATGTGGTAAGTTCACGTCAATACGGGATGTGCGCCACAGTCATGCTAAGGTGGTGATGGAAAGTATATGATCGAGTGATACAACAAAATAATGAGTTCCATTGTTTATTTTCTATCCTGCACATCGTGCCAGTCAATCTCGCTATTCTGCCGTTAATAATGATATTGAACCGTATTGGCTGTCAAAAAACAATCTATAGCCATAAAACAGCAGCGAGACATCAGAGGAACATGTCAAGAAGAAAAAGCCTATTCTTAAGAACCATCACCGGCATCACATGAACATCTGTCCGCTCTAAGTTTATTTTTAATTCTTTTGATTGTTTCACACACGGACACAATAAAAGTAAATTTGATTATCTTTGTTTACATGCTGTGCTTCCTGCATTTTATTGAGATATTCTCGAAGGAGAATGCTGTTATCCTCATCCTGTGCAGGAATCGAGAGGCCGACGAGATTTCTAATACCTTAAAGAACTTTGAAAATGTGTTCAACAAGGCGTACAAATACCCGTACCTGTTTTTGAACGATGAAGAGTTCTCTGATGAATTTAAGAAGAAAGTCAAAGAGGTGATCTCAACCGATGCCGTCTTTGGCAAGCTAGAAACACACGAATGGGGATATCCCAGCTGGATAGATAAGGAAAAGGCAGCAGCAAATAGAAAAAAGCTTGAAAAACTAGGCATCATATATGCAGGGTCGGAATCGTACCGCCACATGTGCAGGTTCTTTTCAGGTTTCTTCTACAGAAACAAATACGTAAAAAAATACGACTATTACTGGCGAATAGAGCCGGGAGTGAAATTTTTTTGTAAAATGAACTACGATCCATTCGAATTTCTGAAGAAAAAAAATCTTGAATACGGATTTATCATCAACATTCGGGAGTTCATGGAAACGATACCGACACTGTGGGACGCAACCATCGAGTTCATAACAAAGCACAAGGACATGATACCAAACCAAAACGTGCTCAAAGAAATTTTGGATAACAATAAAAACTACAACGGGTGCCACTTCTGGTCAAATTTTGAAATCGCAAATCTAAATTTTTTCAGAGGCGAGCTCTACCAGAAATACTTTGATTTTCTGGATAAAAAGGGAGGATTCTATTATGAGCGATGGGGTGATGCACCAATACATTCGCTGGCTGCCAGTATATTTCTTGGAAAGAGAAAAATACACTTTTTTGAGGATATAGGGTACGAGCATCCGCCCTTCCAGCATTGCCCCAGAAACCCATCGAGGTTTCCCGACTGTGAATGTAATTCAAATAATTCGATTGATGACGGTCCTTTTTCGTGCTTGAGAGAGTTTATAAAAGAGGACTTATAGAGAAACTGGTGAGAAATGACAGATGTGATTTAATTAAATGGTTGGTAACTAAGCCGTATCGTGATGCAATTATGGTGTTCTGATAAAATATTGACCGCTGTATCGGAACAAAGACGTAAACAAACGGACAGCAGAGCATCAAGAACTTGTAACAAACCCGTGATGTGTGATTTATGTGTAGGACAATTTATACTTTTGGTGCATGTAGGACGTACCATGGTGCTGGTCACTGATAAACAGCATCAATGAACATATGTGAGGGTCTGTGCACGAGGTTGCACGAACAGTTCATAATGTTATTTATTTTTGTACTTCTGTGCCGCATACTTTTCTCCACATATATTATGTGATTTTTCCATTTATTGCGTACCTTTAACGACACAGCACTTTTACATGGATGTTCCCTACCACACCGCAAATATGCTTAACAACACGTTTCGTTTGGCAGTCAATGTTCATAAATTAATATACGAATTTTTGAATGTTGCTGTAAAAATTAACGATTTTAGCCATATTTAAGATAATTATTATTGAAATTAGTACTTAGTGCAGTTTTTAGAACTCAGATCTCCCGCTCACCTCAATTATTGCTCGTGTCATTGCACGGTAATAACTGCTAGATTTTCATAACCAAAGCACTCTCAACAATCAAGATAGTATGTGAGATTCTCCACCCTTTCCAGACACACTCAGTTCATGAATGTTACTGGTGATTTAGAATAAAAGTATTTTACTTTGTTTGCAATTTTACCGTATTGTTGACATGTCGCGTAGCATACGTGATGAATCTTCTATACAATAGGAATTACTAATATTTCTGACAATGAACGGTTCTCAATCAAGCACTCTCGCCAATGATGCAGTCTTCGTGGTCCTTATGAACCAGGAAGTCCTGAAAAGAAACTGCGTGATGTGATAAATAACCATTTTCAGAAGGAAATCTGTGTAAAGGTTGTGTAGGATTAAGCACCCATACTTGTAACGGAAACAAAAACCGTAAGTGTCTTTGATTGTTAAAATACGACCCTTTAATGCCGAGAACGAACAAATCGTTCTCCCGCAAAAATTGTCAGCACACCCCTTGATGCAAGCAGTAAATTAAAATTAAACTAAATTAGTTTAAAATTGCCCAAATTACTCTCCTCATCTCAACGCTGAACAAAATATTCTCCTGCTAAACAGGTACATTCCGATGTAAAAGACGTACAAAATGTAAAAATAAATTGTTCTGGTGTGGATCAAGAAATGAAACAAATAATCGTTCTATCGCTTAAATCGACCAACATTTACGTTTACATGCATAAGCTCATCAAAATCATACGAGAAAAAACTGCAAAACTTGCACACAACATTAAAAATGACCGATCGATAAAGGAACTGAAATTTTATGAAATAATACACGGCATGCTCGTTGATAACATAAAAAAAACAAAGAGAGAAATATTCTATGCCTCACCTAACATTTTCAAAAGACAAGAAACCGTTAACAAGATGATCGACAGATTTGCACATTTGCACAAAATACGGCTGATAGATTTTAACGTTGCTGCAAGTCTAAAGGGCCTTTTTTACGGCGAAATCACATTCATAGAACATGGCAAGACGTACACTCTTCACCAGAATTTGATACCCGACATGAACGAGATCGTAGAGATTAGGTGCAGGTTTTCTTCGGTTCTGGTTGTTGAGAAGGACTGTATGATGACGTTCATCAAAGAGGTATTTCTCAGGAACAACAAAACAATTAATTTTCTTCTTGTTACAGGCAAGGGATATCCGGATCATAACACGTTAGCATTTCTCCAAAGACTTGAGCACATGAACTGCCAGATTTACGGTTTATTTGACTTGGATCCTTTTGGATTGAACATTTTTAGGAACTACAAGTCGAAAATATGCGGTATGCTACGTGTAGGAATCACCTCTAGAGATGTCTTTGAGTACAAAATCATAAAAAATGAGTTGATAGCGCTAACGCAACGGGACTGTAAGTTGTTAACGGGTCTGAAGAACAACATTGTGGATAACGAGTTCTCGGAGGATATCTCATTTCTTGAAGGACTCGGAAAAAAGATGGAGATCGAAATATTTACGTCGTACCACACAACCTTTATTGTACAATATTTAGAAAAGAAGCTGATGATTAGCTCGTATGCCGAACACCCCGTTTGTCGATCAAACGGGCCACGTAAATAAAGTGGTACAAAATGAACGCATGATCTTCGGCTTGTTTCAAAATTTTGGACAGAGCGTTTAGAACACCTCGGGCTATGCCTCAATACCATCTACAAGGCAAAAGTTGTCATTCACCTATGACAAAAAAAGGTTGCATGCCACTATTCTATGAGTGCTATATCGAGCTTTATTAACGTGCTAAATCAAAAGTTTTATTGATCATAACAGCCTATCAATATGAGAAATGCTGCTGCTGCACCAATCACAGCGCCAGTATCCTTTGATATGGTATAAATACTTTCATTCATTTATGTTTTGACTGTTTGTGCACCGGTGCTTCGAATCCTTGGTGCATTTTAGATCCTCCTTAAGTGAACGGTATATAGGATAAATAAAATGTCTGTAATACGTTAGTCTTGCAAAAGGAGGTGTACCGCACGTAATGTTCTCTTTTCACTTTGTTTTGGCGTGTCAAAAAGAGGAAACCTCCTTTAGCGCGCTCTGGCACGATTATCCTTTTCCAGGAACAGGCAGCAAAGCCAGGAACATGATCACCTACTCCTTACCTAAATACGAAGTATTTATTTGAGATAACAGACACACAAGGGGGGCATACCGTGCTTATCATGAACAATTCATACCAACATGCCAATAATTAATATCAAATCGGCAGTTTTTCGTTTCATTTAAATTTGTGATCATATGTCTTATTTCTATTGATGACCACGGATAAATCATCAAAAAAAATATTATTGGTTGTAAAAAGAAAAATATTTAAATATAAATTTACTCCATACTGGCACGGATAATGAGTGCTAAGATGGCGATTATCATTTTTATATTCTTTTGGTCGATTACCAAATTCGTCATCATAATTCTGCAGATAGCGGGTGTAATTGGAAAACCGAAATGAGCAAATATGGTTTAATCAGATGATGTAAGAAATGAAGAAGTATGCTATAACAGCCACAGCACACACAGGGAATGGTTACTAATGAAACGTGTTGCACGTTAAAACGGTGCTCTGATCGGTAGCAATTGGCGGGTGCACGTTTCGTTTCTAATGGACCGAGTTGGTGTTGGATTGGTGAAAATATGTGTTGAGTGATCAGTGTGGTGTGATTGAGTGGCGTAATTCGCATACATACCCGGTAGTTGTTTAGTGCTTGTAATAAATATTTTGGACCAGTTCGTGTACAATTCTGCTGTTTACGATGAAATATGTGAAATAAATACGTTACACAGTGCAAGTACACAAAAACACGGTTTTAAACGTATTGTTGACACCAAGCACCGGTCAATAGAAAATGTTTTCAGTTTTCACCCGTTGTTGTGCTCACATGTAAAGTGAATGGTGGAACAATGCCATTTTTATCTTTAACTTGCTCAAGATTGTAATTTGAACAAGCAACGCGCCTGCAGACCAACCATGATACGATACCTTTATTGATTGCCTGTTCTATACCGGATTACCATTACATCATCTTATGCTGACACTTTCCACAATCGGTGTTGAGACATCCGTTCTATCAAGGATCCTCCAGAATTTCAAGTTCTCGTCCGCTGCTAAAGACGCCACGATTGTCTGGTCAGGGCTCAAAACCGTGTAGAGCACCCTGTTATCATGCTTTCCAAACGAGCAGATCTTTTTGAAATTGGAAACCTTCCAGAGACAGATATCGTTTTCGCTGTATCCATGTGCAGTGACCATCTCCTTATACCTGGCAAGGAAATGAATACCACACACCTGTGACGACATCTCCACGCTACTCTCACACGTACCGGTTTCGATGTCCCAGAATCGCACAGTTTTGTCTTTGGATCCACCGCCACTTGCAAGGATGCTCACTCTCCAAGGACACCAATCCAGGGCCTTCACAGCGGATGAATGTCCGTTTAAGGTATAGCGCGGCGAATTCGATCCCAATTGCCAGATATTGATGCAATTATCGTTTGCTCCGCTCGCCAAATACCTTTTTGAGTTGCTCCATTTTAGCCCACAGACCTCCTGCGTGTGAAATTTAAATTTACTGATCTCCTTGTTGTCCCTCAGATCAATGTTGCTTATCAACCCTGTTCTGCTGCCGCTGCTTAGCACATTGCCGTTCCAATCTAGACTGGTTACCCGTGTTTGGTGAAAGCTGCGCTTTCCCATTAATTTACATTTCTCCACATCGTAGAATATTATATCGCCGTTACTTATGCCTGCAGCCAGCACGTTACCGTTTGACCTGAGAGATGACGCGTACACTCCACTTTTGAACGTTGCCAAATTTATCACGTCCTTGTTGGCCACATCGTAAAGGTAAATTTCTTCAGCGAGACAGATGCTGATGTAGTTGTTGCTACTCCAGTCCAATATGTTCAGGTAGTAGTCGTCGTATACGCCAGGAGCATCAAGTATCCTAAATGGAGACGTGTCTACCTTGCGCGTCTCCAGTCGTTTGTAGCGCGGCTCCGTAATAATCTGTGTGCTTGCTATTATTTTATCCATAAAACCGAATTTCTTGGTGTATCGGTCGTTGTACACCGTTTTGTTCTGGCTGTTCTTTCTGCTTAGTCTCTTATACCGCGGTTCTGTGCTAAAAATATTGTCAAGGTTTATTGTTTTCATATGGGTGGATTTTTCGATACAATAAAATATAAAGGGAATTGATGTACACCGTAGATTGGCAAAATAATTGCATTCTTTGTTTTGAGGTGATATTAAGCGCTAGAAATGTTTGGCACGTTTTGCGATTATCTGCCAAAAAGCTTAACGTAATTAATTGAATTTTTAATTCATTTGTTTGCGAAACGCATTCAACTGAATGCGGTACCATGTTCCCAGCGGAATAGAAAAACGTGTTGTTCAGGCGTTGTTATACGAGGGGATAAATGACCATTCTTTTGGTGAAAAATAGTGCATTTTGATGCCGAAACGAACTAAAGAAAAACAGCTAGCCAATTCGTTAAACAAAACAACCGTTTAATTACTGGTACACAGCATGGTACCTCTGCTTGGCGGTTAAAAGTGTTGGGCAGAGCTGCTGCAGAACAAGTATTTATTTACGCAAAAGCAGCGTATTATAGCGTGCAATTACTTAACATGCACTAACTATCGCTAAATTAACCAAATTGTCAGACAAAGCGCAATATAAATTTGATTGCTGAGTTATACACTGCGTAAAAACAGTTATTACCTTGGCACAGCTTTGTATCAGTCATGGAATTTATATTTGCTCTTGTCTTTAAGAAAACTTATTTTCATGTTAGGCAGCGTCATCCTGAAACTTAGATCTGCTCTTTTGGTGCTGTGCTCATCACCCTCTTCGATCCACGAACATTCAAAGCTATCTTCTTCCACCATGTTATCCTCGCTATCTGTGGCGTAGTTTATAGACTCACCCGACTCATCATCGTTCCATAGCAAATCAGAATCTTCGTCATAATTTAGTACGAACGGTATTCTTTTCACGCTGTTATTGGTTCTGTATTTTGTATAGAAAGCGTGGATGGATGGTCGTATCGTATCATGAAACTTAATGTACGTCAATTTTCTGTTCGTTTCGTATTTTCTCGTGGATTTGACCCCAAGACCTATTTGGAATATCAAAGTGTTCGGAGGAAAGTTAATGGGCACGAACCTGCTGCTGTTTCTGTCCTTTTTTTCCACTAGTTTTTCTTTCTTTATGTAATTTGATAAACTGTGAACTCCCAGTATTTTTGTTCGCTTAGCACTTCTATCCGCTACTCCACCATCACCTCCATCAAAACCGTTCTTGTCTTCAAATTTTTCTTTGCATGTAATTTCCGCGTCCTTTTTTGTGCTCGTACTTGTTCGTCTTGTTTTTCTTATTTTTGTTCCCGGTTCATCGTTTTCCTGATTGTTCTGGTCTATTGAGCATTTAGTATTCTGTGTCAGCCCTTCGCGCCGCTTATCCCCTTTATCGTGCAGATTTATCTCTTTCTCTTTGTTACTATGTTGTTTGCTTGAATTTTGTTTTGTTGTTCGGCAATCGCTCCCCTGCTCGTCATCAGCGGGTGTGCTCGGACACGGTCCCTTGTAATCATCTACAGGCTGCGACAAAAGCTGTTTTTTCGTCTTTTCCCTATTAACAAATATTAAACGAAGCGTTCTCTTGGTAATGCATTGCAATTTTATATCGCAATCGTCTTTCAACTGCAGGAGTGCACATGTATGCTCTGGCAGCACAAATGATGAAGAAACGCTCATTTTTTCAACACACAAAATGCGACTGTCAACATATTTGTACACGCAGTATTCAAAATACGTCTTTATCCATTCTTTAAGCCTTCTCATAGTCGTGGTTCTGCGTTTGGCATTTTTTTTGTACGTGAAAATGTACCTGTAAACGAAATTGATGTCTAAAAAAGTCTTGGAATCGATAATTAGTGTGAGCAACTCCAAATTTATGTCTGTTTCTGAGGATATTTTATAGTTTTTCAGTATTTCTAATGTAACAGGATGGAATTCCATTTTAACAAGGACTCCTAAAATTAGGATAGAAAACCGTGAACTGAACTGTGGTGCTCGTCAACTTTGTCTAGAACAAGCGAGTCGTCTTAGTTTCATAGCGTATTAGCAAAATGTAGCATGTGAAGATGGAGTGGAAGTAAATAAAAGTGCTTTTCGTGTAAAAAAGTTCTTCAGAAATATCGACCAAATAGATGCCATGGCAGCCAAAATGAACAAGCCATTGGCAAGGTCCTAGATGCACAACATGCAGGACCCTGTAAACGGCATACTTGTTTTGCTCTATTCTTGGTGGCTAACGCTACGATCCATTGCCGGTGGTTCTTCATTCTGCGCTTGTAGAGGCCGTATCCAACGGTTGCACAGCAAAAGCTTTTTCCATGATCGCTATCAAACCCGTAGTAAATTCCTTTGGCACAAACATATGAAATATCACATAAGCACGTTGAAGTATTCTTTCATACTCTCACTGTCTACCACAATATCCTTCAAATTGCACCAGTTCTGTTTATTAGCTCTATCAGCTATTTCAAAGCCATACTTTCCCTCAGTATTCAAAAAATTTTAAAAACTCAGACCCTGCAAAATGGTAAGTGGTTCACTCACATCTAATTCAGGCAATAAAAGATTTACTGTATCCTACGTTAGAAGAAGTAAAACGAACGAACAAGCGCAAAAAGTTGATTCCCGACCCAAACGGATTCTTTATAAGGGTTAAATGTGCAAGCTGTGATGCACAGACAGTGTGCTACTCGCACACACAGAACAAGAAGCTGTGCGGAGAGTGTAATGCGCCTATTTGGTATCCTACTGGTGGATTTGGGAAGTTGGCGGAAAATTGCGCATGGGCTAATATCAGGAGAACGATTAATTAAACACTAGGTTTGGGAATATGGTGAGAGCATTGAGAAAGAGCGTGTTTTATTCTTTTTGAGGACCGAATATCTGGATGGCGTAGTGTTAGACTGATAACTATGTTTTTCTTTCGTTAGCACGACCGTTGTTGGGTGCGATCAGGGACGAGCGGTGCTGATAATTTGGCGCCTGGTCAAAAATCACGGTTCTTTCGTTCAACTCGAGAATATACCAATCGTGTATGAGCTATGACAAACTATTCCTGCGTTAAGTCCGCAGTGAAAGATAATCAAACATGATATACTGTCAGTGTATGACTTAGCTAAAGATAATTTTTACCGAAGTACCTCAATTAGTAGTGAAAAGATAAGCTATGGTTTGTTTCTGTGATTGTGTTTCATCATTAACCATGTTATTCTTGCTATAGCGGGCAAAAACTTTTGCGTAGTATTGTCACGAGCGCTATTGCTGGTAGTGGCGCGTAAAAAAACCTGTATCTCATCATTTTACCAAATCATTGATGTATGCTTATTAAATTTTATTCAAAGTGCTACTATCGTTCATCTAAATCCTCTTCTCGCCCTTATCTTGGTTTCGGGCACTCGTGCAAGTTTAAACTTGTCTTTGTCACATTTGCACCCAAGCAGTCTCATAATTTTGGTAATTTCGGCATCACTGATGCCAAAGTTGGGCATGTTACTGATGTCAATTTCATACCTGTGGATAATCAACAGGATCACACATGCCATAGCTATGAATTTGTACCGCTCGTTATTACCGTATCGCCTGTATTTATTGCGCTCAATATTCGCGTTTTGCTCCCTTGTGCTCAAAACTGTGTTCAATACGTCATACATAATATCGCCGTACGGCAGTCGCTCGGGCACATAGTTCTTTTCCAGCACGTACAAAATCGTGTCTAATATTATAAAATGAGCCTTAAAGCTGTCTCGGTATTTATAATCAACGATCCGTATGCTTTTGCAGTTCAGCTCCAAGTGATTAACCTCCCTCACCAATTTTTTGTCGAACATTATGCTCAGCTTGTAAATGCTCTTTGCATTCTTTGCGTTGGTATTAAAAGTAGGAACAATCTGCTCGCTGCCTGCATATTTCTCAAAGTTTATTCTGTCAACATTTATGTCGTTCTCGAGCACGTCTCTCTTATTGATAGCCTTCCTTGCGTACTTCGAGCCGTGCAAAATGCTCAGCTCGTCATACGAAAGTGATTTAATATCACCAGTGTCCTCCTGCACGATTTTCGTTGTTAGATCAAAGAAGGCGCAGTACTCAGCGTTTCTTATATTTTTTAGATCGTGTTTTTCATCCGTATCGACGAGCAGTATTTTATCTTCTGTGGGCCGCTCGTTGGCATGCTGTACAATCGGCGGATCATCCAGTTCTAGGATGTATCGTTGGTTTATTTTTTTTACTGTGAGCGGTTTTACACAGCTCAAGTTGTTTAAGATGAACATAAGGGGCCTACCGAAGCAGAATTTTGATAAAGGTGTTACTGAACAAAAAAGCGTAGCAGGAGAATAAGTAAACATGTATATTCGGTAAAACTACTTGAATGTTTTAATTTATAGGAATGAAAGCGTTTTCGACTGGCTCAACAGTGCTCTGAACTTGTATTTAGTTGTAAATGTATTTCTTGATAGTTTGCTGCATTCTTCGTGCAAGGAACAGAATTAGAATTACAAACGAAGTACTATGCACCGAAAGCACACTCTCACTGTGTATTAATTCGGGTTTCATTCACAACTGAACATTATTCATCAGTTTAAGCTGTTCGACTAATCGACATTGGAACCGTAAATTTAATATTTTGCTAAAAGTCATTTCTTATCTCTTCACACACCAAAAACACCCCAGCACACTTCTGTGGTGGCTTGAACTAATTATGTAAACACTCATGTTTTTGTGACTCTTTTAGAACATAGAAATCGCTTGTCAAGGAATTCGTCCATGGCGCAGATTGATTCGAGAATATTACTTAATTTATCACCAAGCACATCGATAGTATCTGAAATACTTGCAAAAATACAGCCATGAAATGCCTTCGCGGGCGGAAAAAGCGGAAAATCTTATTATCAAAAATATACGAGATCAAAGGCACCATTCGTGTCGCAAATAAAGATTAGAAGGCAATTTATCTTATTTTCTGGGTTTCACATGTACTGCAAACTACAGAAAGCATTTTAACACGCATTTGTTCACTCTACTCCTCATCACTCGGAAACAACACAACTTCATCTTCCTGAGCATCTAAGTATGGTTTTATCGTTCGTGATATAGCTGTTCCGCCTACTTTCTCTCCCAAGTCATCTTTTATTCTCACAAAGTCAACTATTTCCTTCTCGTCTCTCACTATATCATAAAATCTTACTTCTCTTTTTTTCTTCTCGGTTATCTTTAGGAGTGTACCACTTACTTCGCATACTTCATCGAAGTAATACTTCAATTTACTTAAGGTTTTACAGTCGTAATTTTCGCTTCTCACAAAAAAATTAGCAGGATCGGCCGTTCTTACTGCATTCAGATGTTGAAAAATAGCACTAGATTCAATATTCGGTACACTTTCCTTCTCGGTTATCTCCTTGAACATTTTTGTGCCGTAAATATGTTGAATGATCTTTTCTGCAGGTATTTCGTACACATCTATGATTAGGATCATCCGTATGGGTAAAGGGAAAATATGGTGAAATCATGAAAAATAGCGCTCTCAGTTCCCACCATACCGTTGAAATAAGGATGCATTCACGCCACATCGAATAAACATCTTCTAACACAGGCAATCATTGCCATGCAAAAGCTCATCTTTTATTAAAATGGTATGAAGAGCGGATTACCAATATTTATGTTGCTGAAGGTTTATCCCGTGCTGTAATACAAATCCGTTGTTCAACACTGCGGCAATTAGAATAAAGCAACAAAAAGTTGAGGATCCGAAACACCCACGGGAAAAACACCAACAAACAAATACATCCTGAAACAAGCATATGAATGATATGATGCATGGCACAGCCAGTGTAGTAGGCAAATCTGTTCGCTGCCATTGAAAGATGAAAGTGCCAGGATATAGAATCCCTAAAAACAACCGTAACAAGCAATACCGTTACAGTAAGCAAAAATACACGGCCAAACAGCGTATCACCGTAATAAAACTTTATTTTTGCTCACCATATAACTCACTGTACTTCTCCCTTCCTATCTGGTTGTACTTTTTCGAATAAATTGCATTTCTGAGGATCTTGTCATCTGTTCCATTGGTACTGAGGCTGTTCCTGTCTGGTTGTTTGATACCGTTGCGGTGATCCTTTCTGTTCTGGTTGTGATGGCTCGTATTCTTCCTCTTCGGCATTCTAGGGGCAAAAATTTTTAGGTGAGAAATTGCATCTTCCTGCTCATTTGCCACAGTTTAGAAATAAATACGGGTAACTCTTATGGCTTCTTGTTCACGTGTACTGCACATTACGAAGGTTTTGCAGGTGCTTGTTTGTTTTTCGTTTTTACGTCAAATACAAGACCAACACTGTCATATTGTTCATCATATTAGCCATTACTTTTATTTGTAAGCTCAGAAACGCTGAATATCTACCGAAGAAATCATGGCGATGCCTTTCTAGAGAGCCTTCTTCATAGCACAAGGATCAAGTGAGCAAAGTAAATAAATGGCTTATGTTGCCTAATAGTAAAAGCAAAGCTATTTAAATGTTTAGAGGTGACCTTCAAGCACGATATTTACAGACTCTGTATCCTACTAATAGTTTTTTCATCAGCGCACCGCACTTGTGTATGAACTGTAAATACCTCATCCACAAAATAAATCAAAACCATGAGAAGTGCTGTTTAGAATTTAGAAATAACAAGCATCGGCTCTAGCACAGTATTTGCGTTCTTTTTAAACCGTATGGATGCATAAGTGTGGTGGATAAGTATGCATGTGAGTGGAATGCTAATCGGCTGCGAATCCTCTAACGTGTGAAAACACGTAGAAGTGATCAAGTACAGTTTTTTGAAAGGAAAAGAAACGTGTGAGATTTGCTTTTCGCAAATTTAAAAAGTCATAATTTCAGATCCCATTGAAATGCCGATTACCAGAAGAAAAAAGGCTGCGAAGTGTTCCGATGAAAAAGAAAATGTGGAAAGTACAACAGAAATAACCTTCTTAATGGACAGCTCAGAGATGAAGAGTATTGATGGTTTAGCTGCGAAGGAAAGCAGGCATGGCACTTTAACAAGCAACGATATAATACACAACCTGGAGAGCAACACAAATTTGGATCAAAACAGCGTGGATAGAAGGAGTGTAAACGAACAGAATATTGCTAATGGCGCGGATGACGTGGTAGATATACCAACAAACATGGATGAAGATTTCATCCTTAATAATTCCCTGGAGTATTTAAGCAAGATTGTTAGACGGCATCCTGACCTGTACTTCAAGTGTTGGAACAACATAAAACAAAACAATGACCAGGCTAAGTTTGAAAAACTATCAAATTTAGCTCTTTTGTCCAAAATTGATGAGAATAAAGTGTTTGAGCACACAACAGACCCGTCAGAAACGGTAAGATATATTGCAACGTTCATCTCAGTTCGAATTTTTATGTACAAAATGAAAACAAATCACGATTTTGACATCAATATAGTACTGAACAGGCTCAAGGATGTTTATTATCCAACACGTATGGTTGTTATACAGGAGCTTTTTTTATTTTATGAAAAATTTGGCACGTTAGTGATCGATAAATTGCTGTTAGCGCTCCATGACAGCAAAGACGAAGTCCGTGTTGAAGCGCTAAGAACGTTAAGAAAATTGTACAAAAAATATACCATAGAGATTGATTTTGTGGATATTATCAAGAAGCTTGCCAGGGAGGCAATATCGTGCAGCACGCGCTCGGCAGCCGCAGATTTTCTCTACGACGTGTTCAGCGCTGAAGACAGGGAGGATGAATTGCTTGGCATCCTGGGCAGTTGTCATCCGAACAGGATAAGGAATGTGATCCAGAAGATTAAGAAACAGGGCAAGAATATCTACGATGTTTACCACCTCTTGTACAACAAGTCAGGAGTTGAGGTTTTTCGGAATATCGAAATCAGAAAAAGAGGATTGGAAACATACCTGGATCATGTAATTGATAGAATAAGACGTAGCGTGCCGTGTTGTAGGAAAGGCAACTGCCACTTACTCATATTAAACATGTATCGACACACCAATCTTGAAAAAGTTTACGCCTTGCTTTCGGTCGTAAAGGATAGCAGAACAAGCATCGAAATTATTGTGCAAATGCTTGAGCGCATCAAAAACGAGGTGTATGTAAATTCAAACTGCACTACTAAAGTGCTCGACAGGCTGTACGAGTACGGTCAAATTTACAGACTGAACTATTTCAATCTCCTCAAAAAATTAGAGACTGATTATCAATCGTATGTAAACGAAATCGTGAAAAAAATTGAGCACGAAGACTTGATAAAATACTTCGATGTGGAGCCGCTCAACAATGCAGGAGTAATTTACAAGGCTTTATGGCACATAAATTCGGACCAGGTTGACCAGGTAAGGACACTTGTCTTCAGCGACAGGAATGATGATAGTTTTGATGAGCTGTCTGAGCTTGTTCGTTTTGTACATTCAAAAATGGATGAATTGAGTAGGAATATAAGTACCGATGATGTACAGGACATGATGCACGCTTTTGAGTTCATTTATACACAGTCGATTGCCTATTTAAGCACAAAAATTGATCAATTTCCACGAGATGGCAGCTTTTACAACAATCTAACCAAGTTCATCTGCACTGGCGTTTTTAAGGATAAGGCTGGTATAATATTCCGGTCAGCAAAACATTATCGGTCTTTGATGATCAAATGCAAAGATATTAGCCTGCTCATCGAGCTCTTCACCGACTTTCTGCGCAATGAGAAAAACATAAAAACAAAATGCTTAGAAAAAATGGCAAAAACATTCAAGCAGCGGCTAAGGAACTATCCATCAACTGAGCTATTCCTAACTTTAAAAAGATTTGTGAGCGTTGGTGTTAACATGAGTAATTTTATACCGCTCATAGACATTTTAAGCCTGGATGAGCGCATTGTATTGGAAAACGTAGCCAGTGGCAAGTTCAAGGACAAATTGAAGGAAACATGTGTTGAAAGTCTGAACACCGAGAGTAAATGAACCAATGATGTAGTTTTACCAGATACTCGTTTGATTATCTGCTGATGAGGTTTGTTAAATAAATTAGCGTTCCAGCTGGTGGATCAAATCCTTTATATTGTGTTTGCTCGCGTGTTTGATCATAACAGAACCGATGGCACCGTTTTCTTGCTCCTTTATTTGCGTTCTATGCTGTGACCAACCGGCCTGATACAAAATTTCTTGCTATATCTTTTGCATATTTTAAACTTTTTTTCATCGTGTTAATGCCAAACATAACATCCTACTACACGACAGCACATATTTCAGGCTTCAGATTACAAAACCTACACGCAATGAGCCCTGTGCAACACTCACTTATATACCCAGCAAATTTAATTTAAATATTTTTATCATCCATGATACGAAATGATACTTGCATCTCAAGCATTGATGGCTCGTTTAGCCATAAAAATATTCTTGTTGTGCACAACACTACGTGAACGCACTTTGCTGAATTCGCGGTTAAAGACAATAAAATAAATTACATTGCCAATGCATGACATAGCTAACAACCTTAATACCTTTAATTATTTGCTACCGGCCCTTCATTCTTTGCCACCAAATAGTCCTCGATCATCAACACCTCACAGGCCAAGTCAATGGCATACTCAAGTGTGCGCCGCTTGACACTGTAAATGTCCTTAAGCTGTTCATTATCAGCATTTTCTGATGGATAGAAATAGCTAAGTGCCTTTATAACAGCAGAGTAAACTAATTTTGATGAATCTCGGATATTTGCAGACAACTCAGCCAGGCGATCCGAAAGCTGCAGCTCAAACCTTCCGGCTCCATCAACAAAATAGCAATCATTGCCTCGCAAGCTCTCCAGAATTTTTATGCCCTTTTCCAGCAGCAACTCCGATTCATCCAAATTGGATGCAAGGCTGTCCTTGAGAACGATTGACACGATGTTAGAATCCTTCTTTTCAAGTTGCAGGTATGTTTTGTTCTCGTCGTAAACCGTTGTGATGCTGTCTATTTCTCCAGTCTCTTCACGTCGCGGCTTTCTTATGGTTTGCAGCAAACTACCTCTCGACATTCTCATAATCCGCCTTATGTCAAATTTAGAGTTCACCTTTATAACCATCACATCGTTGTTATTAAAGAACTCGGCATACTGCTCATTGACATTCCCATTGCAGATAACAGCATTTACACCTTCACATATTGAATCCACCAGGCATTCCATCCGCTTTTCCTCATCCTTGCTAAATCTTAGCATGTCCTCGGCCTTCTCGAACAACAAAGTTCCTTTCGTTTCGGTTCGTTCAATGTCGAGCGAAGTGTTGAAAATTGCTATTTTTCCACCGCTTTTCCTGACTGTTCCTTGCAGTACCTTCTCCAAAAACATACCATGCACGATGAAACTATCGTCCAGACATCCCGTCTGTACCTTTTGAATCCTTATGTCATCCGGATTTACAAAACCAGATTCAACAACAGACTTACTCAAAAGCGTGGCAAGTATTTCATTTTTCAGGATTGGCATCAAAGTTCTTTTCAGCAATTCTTCATCGCTGAAATCAATCCCTTGTTTTTCCTTGAGCTCATCCATGATCTTAAAAAGCTCTTCCTTTATATTTTTCAGTGTTGCTACAATTCTGTGCGCTTTCATTCCCTTAACAAGCAAGTCCTTACACTCCCTGAGCAGCTTACCAACAAAAAGTATCAAAAAAGTGTTGCCATCACCCAGTTTGGACATCTTGAGCAAAATATCCTTGAAGAGAAACTGAATGGGATGTACCAGCTTGATTGAGCTGAGAATTTTGGTTGTTTCTGAGGTAATTATTAGGTTGTTGTAGCTGTCAACGATTATCTTTCTGTGTGGATCCGCCCTGAATGTGGTCGCGACAATGTCTATCAGCTCTTCGGCTTTGCTGACTGTCATTATCAATTTGACATTCTTATGCTGTATGGAATTGTTAAGAATTGATTGCAAACCGGTGTTGCTAAAATCCATGGGGGGTCACTTATTTCCTGGTAAAAACGCAGGCAAATTTTTGTCTCGTACGTAGGCGACGAGGTAGGGATCCAAGAATATTTGGTTATACACGGTTTAATCATTGTACACATGTTCTTTAGCACCAAATTTGGATACAAGTTATGAATGTATGACCCGAGTCGAGGTAGGGATAAAAATAATACGTGGAAAATGTTCTACAGATGGGTGTGTTGCGACATTCACAACGGATAAAAATTGAAATCCCGTAAAATTGCTGACAGCCAAGTGCGACTTTACGAATATTTTATCCACAATGCACAACCATTTTGTGCCATTTTAATGACAAATACCGGTTCCAACTTCATTTACAACACAAAAATGCTCTCTTGGCACAGAGTGCTCCAATCGCTGGCCTGAAACATGAGAGGAGACACATCAAGGTTGAACAAGTGAACTAGTTGTTAATAAACAGCACTGTGTACATGAATGCTTGAAAATAGAATCACGTATTTTTTCTTACATAAGAGATTTAATTCTTGTATGGTGTGAAGGCGATCACCTGGGATGTGTTTGGCGATAATGCCCAAAGATTGCGACCACATGGATCTCAAAAAAGCATATCAACGGAATAGGTATGCAAGGCAAAGCGGTCCTTGAACAATTTAATATTAAACATGGAGAGGGGGCTGCAATTATCACAAGATATGGTAACAGCTATGGTGAACGGTACGAATAACAATGGTCATAAGGGGCGTATCACGCAAATAAACAATATAACTTATTTATTTACTGGTAAATATCATACATTGGTAGGCGTGTTCTCATATGCACGGTACGTGTTTTCTCGTAAAGATCGGACGTTATCTCTAGGAGTACTAAGATAACATCGGTCTATCATCCTGTCAATCGTTTTGGAATCATACGACTGGTACAATATGTCACTATCCTCAATAACGATGAAAAAGAAATGGTCAATAAGGTAAGCCGTTATATATTCGTATGAAGTTGCAAAATTACCAATGAAAGGTATAACCGAGAACGAATGGGCTTCTAAAAGCATATTCCCGTACGTAACATACACGGAAAACGGATGTGTTGAATTACTAAGCGGTTGACAATTTGGAGGAAATATAAATTTCTTTCGTCCACTTGAATTGAAATACACCGGCAAAAAAACTGCGTTGTCGTGGCAAAAATTCGCAATGTTAAGCTCAAAGTACAAATTGCCATTGATTCCCATAAATACACTCAAATCATGTTTTAGGTTGAGAGTTAAGCGAAAACCTATCTTTGTGAATATGTAAAACAGCTCGGACCGTTTCATGGACCTAAACAACAAATCTGTTCGCCCACCATTCATGAACTGTAATACATCACTCCACACTGTAAAGGCGGTATATACATCCTTAATATGGAAGGATTGGTGCTTTTTCGATACCTTGAGCGAAATATTGGTTTGAAACTTTAAAATATGGTCAGACTCTGATTCATTGACCGGATTACTGACCCGGCTGTCATGCCGAGTATAATAAATAGGAAATGTCAATGTCTGATCCACTGCTGCATCAACGGCTACCATATTGATAGAGCGTATCGCTATGTGCAACAATTGGAATTCTTCTATTATCAAATGAATAGTAATTTCAGATGGCAGTGTTTCAAAACCTAAAAACTTGTGAAAAGACCATATTCTTCCAATCTTTCGCTGTAAATTTGGATATTTTAGCACAATTTGTACTATGTAGGGATTTTCATCTACATTGATCTCTAAGCTTGGTGGATCATTAGTGCTGCTCCCGCTGTTATCATCCTTGGCTATGAACTTGGCGAATTCCTGGACCGAGAAATTCTTGTGTTTTTTGAAAAACTTGTTTAAAAAAAACTTGCGCTCAGCTATCTGCTTTACATCCGCGTTAGCATTGCCATTTTGTGCATTATCAATAGCATTCACTTGGTCTTCTGATACTGAAGTCCTGTACTCAATCAAAAAGCCTATGGATAGAGGATATCCAAGCGATTTCCGGGTGTTCTGCGCAAAACTCGTCAGTGCAACATTTGATTCTTGAAGATGGAATCTAAAAAAACTGTCATTCTCATCACATCGCGATTCTATGTTGATATCCGACCACGAAATGCGCAATCCTGGCGAACTGGAGTCTTTCGTTTTTAGATTTTTCTCTGCATAGTGCAAAATACCACCTATACCCAGCCCACGGAATGTATTCAGGTGTATGCACGCAGTCGCATGTTTTTTACCTCCTCTAATATTGTCTCGTTCAATAATTTGCTTCTCTTTGAACTCGCAAAACAACGTAAACGGCTGTATGAACTGAGATAGCAAGGATTTTGATGTGCAGGACACACGGTAATACTCAGAGATCGCACCCAAACCTAACATATCAAAATTAAAACTATTACTCAGCCCGTCAATGTAGATGCCGTGCACTTTCGAGTAACATATTACAAAATTTGACAGTATAGCTTCAATATGCGCTATTTCATCGCCCAATTTGTCATAAAGAGTAAATTCAACCGCAGGGCCCTTCTCAATCCGATTCATCACAAAAAAATCCTCTGTCAGGATATATCTGTTCTTATACAATGTTCCATTTATCCTTCCACTAATACCTGACACCACATAACGTGAATTATCGATTAGCTGGTTGTACCACGGTGTTTTCTTTTCTCCCGATACTAGCTCAAACAAATTTATTGCGTGTTTATTATTTACAAGTATGTGTTTGAAACTATCGTCCAGCACTTCCTTTTCCTTAACAAGCTTATGAGAGGCACTAACCATTATCTCTACTTCGCTCACGAAGCTTATTCCCATAAAAACGTTTTCACTCGAAAAAAATACGCACAATTTCAGGAAACAGTTCACTGAAAAGGTCTTAAGCTGTACTCTGAAACGAAAACCGACGAGGTTAAGCAAGCACTCTGCCCTTGCATCCTTGAAGTAAGACAGAGTTTCCGATTTGATCAAAATCATATTCTGATCTGGATGTTCGCTGATATTGTGAAAAAATCTCATTGACAGATCTGGCGATGATTTTTCTATGTGCTCCCTAAAACTGAACCTTAACCCGTCTTTGACACCGTACGAAATGAAAAAGTTTTTAAATATGCCTTGCAGCACGGCATTTGGAAAACTTGTTCTTATATAAACCGTACCGTTGTTCAGAATCGTTGTTATAATCCGCTGCAAATTGAACAATTGAACCTTTGTTTTCAGTATGTGACCCTTGATGTACTGCTCGATTTCAATTTCGGCAACAATCTCATCCTCAACAATGCAGTCCAGGGTCAAATGCTGCACAACCTCAAATAAATATCGTATCACCGTGTTTCCTTTGCCAATCTTTTTGATGAAAATCGCTTCATCCTTTGGATCATAGTTTATGTTTATATTCCGAGGTGCGCTCTCGCCGTTTGTTGGCTCAGATACCTGATCACTGACAAACATCAGCACCGGCACGTGCAGTTTGTCAAAAAACCTGTTAAATATACCATAATCCACCTTGAGACGACACATCATCAGCTGCAAGTGATCGATGCCACTATCGAGTGTTTTGATCGTTTTTTTGATGATATCGTTGGCACATAGGCCATGCTCATCATAAAACTTCAGTGTAATACACAACTTCTCCTGCACAGCCCCTCTTTCGATCGACATAGGATCGATTATCATATCAAACAAGTAATTACAGCACTTTGCTTCAAGCGTTAGCTGCGGTATATAGATCTTAAAAAATTCTGACATGGCATATCCTGTCAGCTTCAGATGAATATTGAGCGTATCATCAACAGCATTTATCTGCTCGATGTCCACTTTTTTTCTTGTTTTGCAATCTTTGCCGTCCAAATCAATGATGTAATCCCCTGTCATGCGTTTCCCCAAATATATCCCGAATATTCTCGGGCTCAGTTTATATTTTAACGCAATTTTTATCTTTTTGGCCTTAAAAACACACATAGCATTCTCATTTCTGATGTCCACAATTCTTAGAAGGTGGTCCTTCACCGCTATCTGCTTCCCCTTCTGCAGTATTGTCTCATCCTTTCGGACAGAAAAAAGCAGTAAATATTTCTGCGGCTCGGTGGACACGTAGAAGTTGATGCTTATATCCGAAATTTTAACGTTGATCGGGCTCCTGTTCGTGAATCCAGCTGTTATGTGGATGTTGTAAGGATCTTGTGCCATGTTGTACGAAATGTCTTCGATTTTGAATTTGTTCGAGTCAAACACCAAAATGCGGAACAGCATGAGCAGCATGCCAAAGAGCAATGGAGCGATTAAAGCCATCAACAACATTATAATCGTCCTTATAAAACGATTCTTTGCCCTCTTTCGGTCGATATAACTCTCCTCCATCATTTGCTGTAGAATGTTTTTCATTTATTAGCGATGGGCCATCGAATTTTTTTTAAGAGTTAGTATTTTTTATGGTAATTTTGTAGTTTAAATCCGGAGATAGAGCGTGCAAAAAATGGCATTAAAGCCACACGTACACTTAAACAATGTTTTTTGTATGGAAAACGACAAAATGACAGAATCTGTCTTTAATTGATTGAAATGCCTGTTTTGCACGCCATTTATTCGTGCTTTATTGCGTACTTTGGTCATTTTGTGTTTCTATGATAATTAATCGGCTTGATATGACCACAAAAGTTATATCTATGAAATTGCTGAAAAGAATTCAAAAACATCAGTCTGCTATATCGCAACATAAGACGCATCATAAAACTTTGAGAATGCTAAATATTATCGTTAAACACTTTTCATGACACAGCATTCTATAGCTTGGCTGTTGGCCCTCCCAAAATACTTAGGACACACCACCTCAGTACACGTAATAGGCAAATTTACTCGTATGATAAGGTCTAATAAAAAGGCGATGGTGATTTTAACTAAAATATGCGCCATTATCACGCTTAAACGATTTAGTTTTTCACATAGATTGCAAAAAATAATTCGTGTGCTAATTGCTAGTAGGACCAATAGAACAATCCTAGATAGCCGAGATTGTGTTTATAGATAATAAACTGTCTTAAAAATCGATGTGTCTCGTATCAAGTTTTCTTGCGCCGATAGCAAAAAGAGAATACACGAAAAATTAAAAATAAATTAAGTAAATTTAATTGGGATTTGAATTAATTACAGGAATGGAAATACACAATATTAAGGAAGAATTTATTTGAGATACATGTTCTTTATTGCTGCTTCTGTACACATAAATCAGCACATACTACCACTCCGTGTACAACTTTTAAATTTGGTGCATAACATTGCTTTGAGCCGTGAACTATCAGGTATAGTCGCTCTGCGTGTGTATGCGTCGGATCAACGAGGTTTTCCACAGTGTGTAAAGTCGCGTTATACTCTGGCAATGCGATCGCTCTGCATTGCTGGGAGCGATAACAAAGCTAATGGCAATATGGCACAAAATTGTTGCTTTTTACGGCTGAGAATTGTGAAAGCGCTCTTCTTCTGGAAGCAGCGTGCTGAGGGCTTCTCGTGACGTAAACATGTCTTCAACATACAGAGACCGTGCGAAGCACCAAGATATTTTGCATTTGTGAAGTGGCAGTAGACAAATCTTCAAAAAAAATTTAAGCCTAGTATTCGACAGCGCTTTGATGCGACCCAGAGTACACCAAATTAAAGTACAAACTCACATACTTAATCTTTATTTGTAGCTTTGCAACATATTGAATATTGTCTCCTGTATCATCGGGTCATAGAATGTTTTATTATTGGCATCAAATTTTGATCCCTTGAGCAGATGGCCCTGCCTAATGATCCAGTCGTTTATAAACGAATTCGGATTAGCAGAAAATTTCTTCAGCACCTCGCATTTCGTGTTAGCCCGTTTTAAAGTGTCGAATAGGCCCGCAATCTTCTGATCCAGTTGAAATATAACATTGTTCGAGTACATGACCGGAAACTCGTAGAAATCATCAACATCGATCGGAACGTCAAAATTGCTTGTATAATTATTCTGTGCTGGTATTTCAAATATAAGTGGGTCAAGCGGCAGTAGCAAAGCAGAAACCAACCTGGGCATGTCCAAGATCTTGAAATGATCGCAGTCAAATATTTCCCTCAGCTTCTCGTCGCAGGTCACAATAAAATCACTTGTTTCGGTGATCAACCTGTTCAACCGTATATACTTCCACAAATCAATTAGCAAACCAGTTTTGGTCTCTGTTTCTTTGTTAAATAGTTTGCGCACCGGCGCTGCAAGCTTATAGCGATCAAAGGTATTCTCAAATTCGAGCAATACGGTAACTTTTTCTGGCATGTCTTCCAAATTAAGCTCAAAGCAGTCTATCACATCGTTTTTAGTTTTTGACCACTCATAGCACTTTCTTAAAACTTTTTCGTGCAGCTCTGAACAGCCATCGCTCCTTTTGATTCTCTTCGCAGTGTCCTCCTCTTTGTCTCCAAAATCAAGCTTTACACATACGTTCTTCAGCACATCGGACATTCGCAGTTCTGTCGTGTTTGTAAAATCGTTGATCACTCTCCCATCAATCTTGAGCAGAAACGAATCCTCGAAAAGTTCGAAATTAACAAATAATCTGAGTCTTTTCGTGCATTTTATTCGCTTGTAGTGTGACTCCTCGACTAACAGCTTCTTTTTTAAAACTGCTTTGTCCAGATGCATTTCCAAAAGTCTCAATTTTTCGTACAAATCCAAAAGTGTCATAGGGGCTAAAAAAATAATTTTTAGATCATTATTTGCCTGTGCGCTGCAGTATTGCAGTGCACACCAACATAGCACATGCTGGTTGCACTGTTTTATGAGCATTATCATATTAAGCCTCTCAACGGTTCAATTCAGCTTATTTTGTTACAATGCAGGTGTTACTGGCGTATTACTGCAAGCGTGTAGGCCATTGTTTTATGTTACCATAGCTATTTCTGGTACTACGTATTGCTGGTGGTTAGGAAGTACGATAATTCGTTGTTAATCAGGTCTTCTTACCTTAAAGTTAACGACACGGATGTGTGGTGTTGATACCCATGCCTGTAGGCTGGTATAATAAAATAGATTGGTAATGGACTTAAGCTATTAACCTTTTAAATGAACGTAGAACATTCTGCAGTAGATCACGCGAATGATTTGGCAACTATAGTACACCTCTGATTTTTGTTTACACTATCGCTTGTCCATTCTCCACACAGCATCAACCAACAGCAACCGTTTCATTTGCTGTTATGGACATCAAGTCCGATGAAAAATGGCAATTTTATACGGACATGAATGTTTGGCGGGTCGCACGTCCTACGGCTATAAAAAATTGCGCATGCTTCGCACATACTAACAGCAATTTATAAAACACGTAACGTAAAAAATAGCAAAAAAAGCAAACAGACAGAACTATTGAAAATCAGTCTTACGTTTAATACACAACAAAAAGGTTCAATCACTTTCTCCACTGCGTTTGATCATACATGGCTACCAAGCATGTAGACAACCTGGGCATTGAAATACATCTCGTCACATCAAATCAAAGATTGTGTTTTTAGGCAAAATGTATGCCAAACAAGGACTAGAACTGTTCATATCCATACACTACTTTTTATTCTTTTTGTTCTCCCAATACTCCTCAAGTTTTTTCTTCATTTCTTCGTTGTCCTTTATTTTCGTCTCGTCCAGCGCCTCCCTGTTAAATGGATCTACCTGGTCTCCTAGCATTATCGCATCGAACGTAGACCTATCAACCGTAACATTACTGGTCAGGAGTATCACAGGGTCTGTAATGGGATCGCATGTGATAGGATCGATAAACTCATCTGGTACAATTTCATCGTCCTCAACAATTTCGCTCTGTATTGTCTCCAGCCTGCTCACCAGTCTTTTAAACAGGAGAAGATCATTCTGATCCAGTATAAACTTGGTCTCGCAGATGAAGTAGGCCCTCTTAAACAGCGACAAGTTGAAATATGAATGGTCCTGCACAATAGCGTCCAGATACACATCATCTGCCATCTTCAGATACACAATCACAATTTTTCTTAGGAGCTCTTTGGGCTTGAAATTGTAGTCATCCGGATTCTTGATGTGCAGATCGTTACACTTGGGACCAACAATCATTTTTAGATTGCAGTTCAGAATGGTTACAAATTTCTTGAGAACCTCGTGCCGGGTCAGAATATCGCACTCCTCTACCAGGAAACTTACCATCTTGAGAGACGAGTCAACAAAAATAAATGAGCTTGTTGCCTTCTTCTTTGCGCGAAGCATATTGCTCTTTAATGACTTTCTTTCCTCGCGATCCTTGGTATATTTAAGCTTTTCCTCGCACCTTTTTATTTCAATGATCGAGTTAAGAGCAGACGACAGCTGACTCTCCGTGTCGTCAATGACAAAATTGACAAACCGCAGGTTCTCCGTCGTTGGCGCAAGGCTCTTGATGTGTCCGTTCAGATCGTTCATCAAAATATTGTGAATGTAGTATCGTATGCTGAACTTGTCGTAAAAAAACTCATCAAAATGATGCAGGTCGGAGTAAAAAAGGATAAGGGACTGAAAGAGCTTCTCCGACAAGCTGCTTGTTTTCAGCTCCAAAATTTTGATGACGCTTTCCTTAAAATGCAAATTTCGTATTTTGCTACACATAATCTTCTCGATCAGGCCAAGCAATCGGTTGGAAAGAAACTCCTGGTGCTCGCGAATGAGGAGTGTTTGTATCTGAAACACCACCTCAAAGTATTGATGAGGAAGATCGCAGAAATCGATGTGTTCTGTGAACTCTACCAAAAAGGATGTTATGGGCTCCTCCTGCTGTTTGAAGAACTCGCTCGAAAAAATGATTCTGAGCGCGAAGCATTTTGATTCAAGTTCTTTTCTCAGATACTCTATTCGAGCATGGCTTTCTCGCTCCGATTGTAGCAGCTCCAACGAGTAGATTTCGTTGTCGAGCAGTTTGATGTGTTCCAAAAACTTGATGTACGAGTAATTAGAAAACATAAGCTTGGCGAAAAACACCACGGTCGAGAAACTCAAGTTACGCATCTTAAATACTTTCCTGCTACTTGCTGCGTCTTTATGTGTCTGATCGTCAGTACCATTCTGATCGGCATCTTCCTTCCTGTCCTCAGACTCTCTGATACTTTTCAAATCGAATACACTCATGAATCTTATGTCAATCAGGTTGAAAAGCTGCTTTCGTACAATCTGCTCGCAGAATATGGCCAGAACATTGTTGAGATTGATAGAGAATCCATCTGAAATAACATCTTTGTAATCATAAACCATTTTTGCACGATTTCTGTTGCTATTGACAACAAGTATTAGGTAATTAAGAAAATTATTTTTGATTTTTTCGCTTTTGCTGACCAATTTCAGTAACATATCATACACATTCTGCGCTAAGTACTCTAATTTATGAACTATCATGGTGCCTATGTTCCTTAGTTCACCCGTTTCCCTGTTCATTACGAGATCTGCCCTTGTAAAAATATCTGATTTCTCGTAGATGAATACCTCCATGAACCCGTCAAGAAAGCACGGACAGTTCGTTTCGTACACAAAACCACGATAATAATCATTGCCATCGAACAGCTGAGAGTCGCACAGACCCAGATAAATTCATCGCAAAACCATACTTGCACCTTTTCAATGGTGATGAGCATCATCACAGCATTCAAATACTTCGCAAAATTTTCTAAAAGATTCAATTTCGATGCCTCTTTGCTGCATTGGTATATCAACGGGATCAGGATTTTCATAGCACTTTCCTCATCACCATACTCAGCTAGGTCTTTCAAGCAATCGTAGACCCGCTGATAGGAAAGATCACACTCGTCAAGTATCCTCTTCATGAGAACGAGCAGGCCTGCCTCCTGCACGAAACTGCTCTGGGACACAACATCGGGGTTGAGCAAGACCATAGACAGGTATGAGAGTATTTTTTGTTTGAAATCTAGCGAGTAGCTGGATTTATAATTATCAATTAAATAAAAAGCGAAGACGCCCTTCTCTTCCGTCCAACCATCCATCTTTTCTATGAACAGATCTTCGACCACATTTTCAGGAATTATCTTTTCGGTTATTTTTTCTTTAATGTTGAAAAATTTGAAAACCTCTCGTTTGATCATGTGGGGGTAAAAAAGTTGTGTGAAATAAAATCAGCAGTGCTTTATAACTAAGACATGGTTATCATGTCTTTTTTTGTGACATAGCTTCATTCAATACATGTGAATTGACCAGCAGCATGCATATGAAACGGATCATAGCATGTGTTACATTCGTTTATATACTTGGCATGGAGGGGAGTAAAGCGAGGATGTTTGACTATGCAACACACTTTATTGTCTTTGCACAGTAAATTCGTTCTATAATTATTCGAAATGCGTGAGTGCAATCGTAATTTCGGTTAAATTCATATTTTGCAGTTTTTCGACTAAAGGTTTGTTTGTTCAGTTCAACAAGCATTGTAATTTGTTTGAGCAGTGCTTTTGTTGATGATGTGGAAGTTAGAAAGTGTATAAAATTGTTTTTTGCTAAATGCCATTTATTTATCTTTTCTCACCACATTCACGGTGGACATTGTACACCATCCTGTACTACGCTTTCATACACACCCTCACAATAACAGAAAGATATGTTGCAACCACAGCACCGATTTTAACTCGCAAACTATGACTCGAGGTGCCCAACTTACTGAACCTATGAAAAACGGTAAACATATGCGTGAATCTACGTAAACGCTAATAACCTTACTTCAAAAAACTATGCTTACCTCAAAACGCCTACTCCTCGCCGAACAACGAATATGTCACAATAAGACCAACACAAAGAAAACGCAGCAATAATGAACTTAAATGACCATCTTTACTTATTTGACCGTCTGATGTAGTGAACGACAGCAAGAACCACTGCAGCAAGCATAACAACCAATGTAGCAATCAACACCCATACTCTGTTCCTAGCAAACCAGCCTTTCGCTTCTTTCTTAATTGGCACCTTTTCACCTTTTGGTTTTTCATCTGTTGTTTTTTCACCTTTTGGTTCTTTATCTTTTTTTTTTTACCTGGCTCTGCGGTACTCTGAGATTTAGAACCGGCTAAAGGATCAGCGGGCTTCATTTCTGTGGGTTTTTT